CATGCTGACAGTGTGGAGACTGCTTGGATTCTCTCTCTCTCCTTCCCTCTCTTTCTCTTGTCTCTCTCTCTCTCTCTCTCTCTCTCTCTCACTTTGCCCTTCCCTGCACCCCCCCTCTCTTTCAAAATAAATAAACTTAAAAAGAAAACATTAAAAAATACTGAGGAATTGTCTCTTCTGGTTTCCAGAGCCATGGTTTTGGGAAGCAGAGCCAGGGAGAGCTCAGGGATTTGGCAGTGGTTTGTGGCCACAGGATTTTCCCAGTGGAGGCCCTGGTGATTTTGTAGAATAGGTGTTTGGTGATGAGACAAATAAAGGCATGGGGTGGGGGTGCTGGGGACCAGTGTGGCCTTGACCATCGTGTATATCTGGTAGTGGGAGGTTCTGTTCAGCCACAACCTGCACGTGGCTGGAAATGGTGAGGGTCATGGTGGTTGCATCTCTGAAGAGAATAGGGACCTATTTTAACACATAATCAGAAGTGTAACCAGAAGAATTCTGCGTTTGAGTCTCTGAGTATAAAACTTGTCAGAGGACTGGCCACCTGCTACGAGGTACAGAGAAGTGCTACAGGAGCTGCAGGTGCATTCTATGTTCCTTCTTATGTCCCTGTCCCCATCACATCCTCCAAATCAAGTGGCTGGTACATTGTAAACCCAGACTCCGAGCCCAGCTCCCAGAAGGAAAACGTCTTACCAAAGCCGCAGGCAGTGAGATTTAATTTGTACTAATGAGTGAGTGCATAGCAAAAAATTCTGGCACTCCTGAGAAGTGAAAATGAGACGCTTTGCACCTCTAAGGGGGATGTCACATGTGAGCTCGAGAGCTCAGTGTAAAAGATTTGCAGAGCTGACAAGAGCTGGCCTGGGCAAGGCATCCCTTACTGACTAAAGAGCCAGCATCCCCGGGGGCCTCTCTTCTCTAAAAGCTCAGCCCCTAATCTCTCAGTTTAGGTGATGGATCAGGCTGGCATTAGTGTACAAAAGATCACAATCACGTAGGGTTGGGTAAGGCGGGAAACTTTGACACTGTCTTTTGTATGCCAGAAAGCTCTGGCAGCAGCTTGGCTGTCACTGCTTGATACTATTGACTTCACATGATTTTTTCACCTTTGAGAAAGAAACTTTTCTGAGCTTTTGGTGAGGCTTGATGTAAACTATAGGACATGATTACTGTGCAGACTATATTCTTTTCACAAAATTAAAATACTATTTTTCCATTTTTAAAACATTCAAAAATATAAAATCCAGTTTCCCAACCCAAGAGAAAATACATATAAATGTAGGGGGGAAAAATCACAATTGACAGTTTGGTGTGAATATAGTCTCCCAGCCTTTTAATGTTGCTATAAGGCCACATTTTTACTTGAATATGAGTGTACCGTAACTCTGGCCTATAACCATCTTTTCTCACTCAATATGTCCTAGATCTACATGGATGTTAATACATTTTCATCTACCTTGTCTTTTCAGGGGTTTCATTATACTCCATTGTATGAATGTGATTTAATTAACCAGTCCTACTAAGGGGCTTTTACGCTGTTTCCAATTTTGGGTTGTATTATAAAGAATGTTGGTAACTGGTTTTGTCCGTAAGTCTTTGCATACTTGTCTGATAGATTCTAAAGGATAAATTCTTGGATGTGAACTTGCTGGGTAGAAGAATAGATATCCTCTTTTTTTAAATTTTAAGTTTATTTACTGGGGCTCCTGGGTGGCTCAGTCAGTAAGCCTCTGACTCTTGATTTCAGCTCAGATCATGATCTCACGGTTCCTGAGGGCAAGCCCCACGTTGGGCTCCCGCCTGTCTTTCCTGTGTCTCCTCTGTGTGAGTAGAAGAGGAGATGAGCAAGAGCAAGAGTGAGAGAGAAAGAGAGAATCCCAAGCAGGCTCCATGCTCAGCACGGAGCATCGAGATTATGATCGAAGGGTTACGACCTGAGCTGATATCAAGAGTCAGATGCTCAGGGCACCTGGGCGGCACAGTCAGTTAAGCATCCAACTCTTGATTTCGGCTCAGGACATGATCTCACAGTTTGTGAGTTCAAGTCCCACATCGGGCTCTGCACTGATGTTGCAGACCCTGCTTGGGATTCTGTCTCTACTTCTCTCTGACCTTCCCCCACTTGTGCTCTCTCTTGCTCTTTCTCAAAACAAATAAACTTTAAAAACTACAACAAGAAAAGAGCCAGATGCTCAACCAACTGAGCCACCCAGGCACCCTAATATCTTCTTAATTTTGATAAAATTTGACAAAATGCCATGCATAAATTTATCAACGTGCTCTGCTTTCAACAATGTGCTAGAGTATTCTTTCTCCCAAATTATCACCAACTCTTGGTGTTACCAGTCTTTGCTAATCTGTTGGTTAAAAGAAACTTATGTTATCTTAATTTGGATTTGCTTAATCAGCAGTGATTTGGGGTTCCCTGTCATATGCTTATTGGCCACATGTGGTTTTTTTGGTGAATTCATTTTCTGAAGAGGTATTTATTTTTTACTTATTGAATTATTAGAGCTTTATATATATTAAGTACATTAGCACCTTGTCACATATTTTGCATACAATTAAATCTTTTTGGTAACAGTAGGAAATATCAAATAGGTTTACTTCAATAAACTCTGTTTGCCTCTCCCAAAAGAAACCCCCACAAAGCTGATGATTGTTGACACTCTGTTAATTTCGTAGGGATGTCATAACAAAATATCACAAACTGGGTGATGCAAAACAGTAGAAATTTATTCTTTCACAGTTCTAGAGGCTACATATCTGAAGTTGTTGGCAGGGCCATGCTCCCTTACTAGCTTCTAGGGTGGAACCCTTCCTTGCTGCTTCTAGCTTCTGGTAGCCCCAGATGTTCGTTGGCTGGTAGACACTATAACCTCTACCTCTGTCGTATTCTATTTTCTGTTAAGTATGCCAGACATATTGAATCAGGGCTCACCATCATGACCTCACCTTAACTTTATTACATCTATAGAACCTAATTCCAAATAAAGTTAACATTCTCAGGGACCAAGGGTTAGGACTTCATCTTTTTGGGAGGGCACAATTTGACCCACAAGACACACCTATTATGAGGTGTCTGCTATTACCAGCAAACTATAAACCCTTTAAGGACTGAGGCTGGATCAATTTCGTTCCACATTTGAATCCCCAGTCCTTAGCACAGAGTCTAGTAGGCACTCCACAAAGATTTCTTTTTTTTATTCTTTACTTTTTAAATGTTTACTTATTTACTTTGAGAGGGAGAGACAGACAGACAGACAGACAGACAGCAAGTGGGGGAAAGGCAGAGAGAGAATCCCAAGCAGGCTCCATGCTGTCAGCACAGAGCCCAATGCAGGGCTCAAACTCAAACTGTGAGATCATGAGCTGAGCCGGTCTCAGGAGCCAGACGCTTCACTGACTGATTTCTTTTTTTTATTTTATTTTATTTTATTTTATTTTATTTTATTTTTTTATTTCTAGGAGAGAGAGAGAGAGAGACAGCGTGAGCAGGGGACGGTCAGAGAGAGGGGGAGATACAGACTCTGAAACAGTCTCCAGGCTCTGAGCTGACAGTCAGCACAGAGCCCGACGCGGGGCTCGAACCCACGAACCGCGAGATCATGACCTAAGCGAAAGTCGGACGCTTANGTCAGCACAGAGCCCGACGCGGGGCTCGAACCCACGAACCGCGAGATCATGACCTAAGCGAAAGTCGGACGCTTAACCGACTAAGCCACCCAGGCGCCCCTTCACTGACTGATTTCTTACAGAATCTGACTTTCAGGGCTATCTGGACTTTCAGACATTAAAAGATGTGTACAGAGAATACAAGGTGTCGATTCTTTCATTTGAATTTAGATTTAACGGTTTGTAATTAAAATGCAAATACCAGTGGGGAGAGCTGGACTATGCAGAAGAAGAAATGTCTCAACTTTCTGAATGAGCACCTTTGCCGAGGTGTGTGCTCTAGGCTCCCCTGGTACCTGTCCTAAAAATAAGTCTTTGCAAATACACAGACAAGCATGCAGATGAGAACCAAACTGACCAGAATTATTAGGTTGGGTAAAACAGATATAAGGCAACAGAGCCCTTAAAAATCCAAAAACCTAGCACTGGGTGTTATATGGAAACCAACTTGACAATAAACTATTTAAAAAAAAATCCAAAAACCTTTTTTTCATATTGTAAAATATAACTGACAATTTATTTCATAGCCATGGCCAACAAAGCCTGGTTTGCCAAATGCCAGCATTTGCTCAGGAAACGTACTTTCAAAATTATTGTTTGGCTCATTTTGAAAAATAATTTCCATTTACCTAGGACTCCCAGCCTCCAAATTATCCCTCAGAATTTCTATATCTAAGCTTTCTTTAAAAAATAATTCATCTCTTATAAATATATATAGTTAATAAAGTTACTTTCTTAAAAGTCAGCAGTCTTCTCTAGAAATTTCTGTATTTTATCCACAAGGTCTCTGCTCCCTCATCCATTCACCAAAGGTAGTCAAATATGGTCATATAGGCTCGGTCTTGAACATTTGCTTTGCTCTCCTTTTTTTTTTTTTAATTTAATTTAGTTTTTTTTTAATTTACATACAAGTTAGTTAGCATATAGTGCAACAATGATTTCAGGAGCAGATTCCTTAATGCCCCTCACCCATTTAGCCCATCCCCCCTCCCACAACCCCTCCAGTAACCATCTGTTTGTTCTCCATATTTAAGAGACTCTTATGTTTTGTCCCCCCCCCCATTTTTACATTATTTTTACATTATTTTTGCTTTCCTTCCCTTATGTTCATCTGTTTTGTATCTTAAAGTCCTCATATGAGTGATGCATATGATATTCGTCTTTCTCTGACTGACTAATTTCGCTTAGAATAGTACCCTCTGGTTCCATCCATGTAGTTGCAAATGGCAAGATTTCATTCTTTTTGACTGTTGAGTAATGCTTCATTGTGTGTACACACCACATCTTCTTTATCCATTCATCCATCGATGGACACTCCGGCTCTTTCCATACTTTGGCTGTTGTCAGTACCACTGCTATAAACATTGGGGTGCATGTGTCCTTTCAAAACATGCTTTGCTCTCCTTTTAGTGGCCATGATTCCAGTCCCAAATCAGTGGGCCAGTGTCTTAGGTCCTAATGTACAGCCATAGAAATGAGGTATTTTAATTAGAACAGAAACAGCATTTTGACCCGGGCACTTTATCTGAACGCATACAGACATAGTCCAAGTGCAAAATTGAGCACCAAAGCCATTATTCAGATCTGTACAGTGCCAGCTTCATGGGCTTGTGACCTGTGCAGTGACTCATGGTCAGAAGTTCCTGTGCTTGGTTTCATGCTCTGCTGTTGCTATCTTGAATTTCTTAATAATGTTTGAATGGCACGCCCCACATTTTCATTTTGCACTGGGCTCTGCAAATCCTATAGCCAGTCCTGGACATACATAAAAGCTGCTTTGACCTGAATCATCGGACTTGTGATCTCTCTTTTCATCTGGCAGTGAAGATAAGAGTTGTGGGTAGTTCCCTCATATCTCCTCCCGGGAGAAGATGACCTGAGCTCTGGAACATTTTCAAAGGTCTAAAAGCTATGAGTCATGTGATTCACTGGAAATAATGAATGAAAGAGGCACACAAAGGTGATTTTTAAGTGCAAGTCTAAAGAGTTAAAGTTCTACCTTCACTAAGATACAGAAGAATCAAGCCCAGTGTGATGCGGATCAGCGTAACGAAAGAACTAGACCTCTGAAAACAGGTATGCCCATGGGCCCGTAAGCTAAATATAAATACATTCCTCTAACTCTTCTATCAACATGATTATTTCAGCAATTCAAATAAAAAGCAGAACGTGTGCGAGGCCACGTTCAGCTATTTTTTTAATAAGAATAATGAATAAATCTTCGGAATTAGAAGGCATCATTCTTCCTGTTTTTTTCCGAAAGAATGGTAGGGAATAGTTGTAAAAATATCATACGACATCAACCTTCCATTAATGCATTCATTAATGCATCACAGGGCATGGCCTTCTGCATAGGGGGATAGAGTCGTATTGGAAGAACAAGCTGTCAAGGAAGAGTTCTTTCTAGACACCTTATGAGCCAGGGAAAGGCGCAGCCAGCAAGGAAGCAGTGTTCCCTGCACCTTCAAAGGCCTTTTGCATATACAAAATAAAAAAGGTTTGGGCTATACCAAAGGTATCTATTTAGAAAAATTTTAACTTAAACACCTATTTCTATCTGATCATGTTTAAACACAGACACGGTGAACAGTGTTATTTCTAGGTCAGCTATTAACTATAGGTAATTTAGAAATATTTTATAAATAATTAAACGATCTTTCTCTAAGGTTAAACAAGACTTCCAATAATTAGCAAGATATTTAGGAGATGAACATGGTTTTAAAGAAGACATTTCAATTTTTAGGAAATCTGAAGAATGTGTCAGAGTTTAAAAGTCCTTTAAGCTGAGAGATGAACGGGACAAGTGGTGTTCTTCCTAGTTTGAAGTACTGTTTAGATACCAAATACCTTCTCCCATTAAAAAAAAGAAAGTAAAAACCGCTTAGACCAAAATGTAAAATTAAGGCATTTGGAAATGAATCAATATTTCCTAGAATGTCCTCTTTCATAATATACTTAAAAAAAACTCCACCAAACATTTTTACAAATAAATACCTAAAATTCCAGTAACCCTAGGGGAGAAGTTGTTTTGCAACTAAGTTTTGAATTCTAGGGTGCATGCATATTTGAGGACTTCACAACTTGGGTAAAGAGTTATGTGTGTGTGTGGGGGGGGTACCAATTAAGGAAGAAAGGAGGCAGGGAGGAGGATGTAAAGGTAAAAAATGAGCCCCTTTAGTTTCTTCCTATTTCCATGCTAGATAAGGCTATCGTAGCTGGAATTGACAATTTACTCTTAGGCAGAGTTGAGATGAAAAGTCTCCTCTCTGTTATTCCTCTTCGTAACCCTGAACCAGACCAGCAGAGAAGGGCCAGGGCACAAAGGTTCAGATTTTCCACTGTGTGTTTGTGTGTCTCAGCTGTATACTGTACAAGAACTTAATTACGGAAGACACTGAGAAGACTAACTCACCTTCCTTTGCTTTTAGCAAATCGCTATCATCTACAGACATGGAGGGGCATGTTTAGAAGTGTCCTTTAGGGAATGAGGCAGAGGTTACAGTGATTACATCGTTTTCTCTAAAGAGATTGAGGAGCACAAGAATAACCCAAATTGAGAGTAAACCCAGATAAAAAGAGAGGTCACCAATTATTCCAGAAGCACTCAATAATAAGATAGTCAAACCAGCAGGCCCAATGAGAACGTAATTAGTTCGTTTAAACTTAGAATGTCCTCCAACATCACTGAGGCAAATGAGGAAAAACCTGCATACAAGCCTAAAACTGAACATTGTTTAAACAAACCAACATGCCAGTATTTTTCTCCAGTAAAGGGTTCGGCTGGGAACAGAGCTGCATTTCTGAAGTGCCAGCTTTCCTAATGTCCTGTTTTGCATTTTCAATCCAAGTTCGATGACGGACATGCTGACTTAAAGCTTTAGAACACCAACTTGTTCTTAATTTTAGCCCAGAGAATTAGGCTGAATGTTTCTCCCCTTGTTTGATGCCCAGGACAAGATGCAGGAACCAGTTAAATTGCACGGTCCATCCTTTGTCTCTACACACTTCGATCTGATCAAGAAAATACTTCTTAGCATCCTCCTCACTTTTACCCACTGTTAGGGCATCCCGAATATATTCAATATCTTCTTTGCTTGTTAACTGGGGCATTCCCGTCATCAGCATCATAGAGAACAGGATGATCAGCAGGTTTGTGTGATGACGGAGAGCGAGGTAAGCCTTAACGCAAACGTCCTAGGTGAAGGAAAAGAAAGTGCAGTTATGTTGTTGCAGTAACTAAGTAGGCTGACGACCACTCAGAGATCCTGGAATTTACATAGCGTTGTCCTGTCCATGAGAGGAAGCTATCACCAAGCTTTCTCAGATAGAAGCCTTGAGAAGAACATGCACTGTTTTCATACCATAGGAAGCGTGTTAGCGTAATTGCTGACGTCCAGGGTGTGCTCAAGGAAAACTGGTTAATACGGTACATTTCATCTTTTTCCTTACTCTGCCTTTTATATCAGTTTCTCGTCTAGGGTATTGAAGGTAGAAATTTCTGTACTCTCTTTAAAGAAATAAGTCCGTTTTGGAACACCATACTGGAATCACTAAACTTTATGTAAGCATAACTGTTTGCCAAGGGCTAATGGAATCCAGAGGAATGATGGAAATGTGGTATTTAAGATTTTGTTTTCATCTTTATTTTACAATTTGGCCTATTCTAAGAAAACCGATCTATTAGCATTTCACTGATGCTCAAAACTGTTGAATAAACTTGTGAATTTTAATGAAAAATTTTTTTGGTTTATTTAAAAACTTAAATAAAAGCAGGGTAGGGGCAGAGAGACAGAAAGACAGAATCCTAAGCATGTTCTGTGTCATCAGCACACAGCCTAACGCGGGGCTCGAATTTACAAACCGTGAGATCATGACCTGAGCCAAGATCAAGAGTCAGACACTTAACTGACTGAGCCACCCAGGTGTCCCTGTACACATTCTGAATATTGAGCCAAAGGGCTTTAAAAATGCTTTGGCTGGCGCATCCTCCAAAAGCCTTTGAGCAGGTGCTACAAGTGAGTTAAGTCCACTTATTCAGCAAGGGATGCTTATGCCAATTAAATTGTCCCAAAGTACAGAAGAAAGTGCAAGGTTCTCAATTTTACAACATGAGGACAACCCAACCTTAATGTTGTAACTTGGCAAAGATGGCGTGTTGAAGAAAACGGAAGTTAATGATTACGGATATAAATATTTCAAATAAAATATGGATGTAAGGATATATATAAATGAGATTTCACACCATAAGGCATAAAAGCAGAGCATAAACTTGAAAAAATATGCAACCTCATTTGTAATCAAATAAATGTAAGGGAATGAGATGGAAACATTCACCTACCAAACTGGAAAATCTTTAATTTTTTTTTAATGTTTTATTTCTGTCAGAGAAAGAGAGAGACAGAGCATGAGTGGCGGAGGGACTGAGAGAGAGGGAGACACAGAATGTGAGGCAGGCTCCAAGCTCTGAGCTGTCAGCACAGAGCCTGATGTGGGGCATGAAGTCACAAACAGTGAGATCATGACCTGAGCCAAAGTCGGACACTCAACCGACTAAGCCACCCAGGCGGCCCATACTGGAAAATCTTCAAAAAGAATTTTTTTAAGACTAATACCAATGTTCACCTTTCATAGGCTGACGGTAGGTGGGAATAGGTACAATTTTATGAGCAGACAATTTGATAACATGCATCAAAAGCCTTAAAATGCTAATAAATGTTATAGAACTTCATTGTGAGGACGGTTACATGTCTAATGCATTTGTCAAAATTCAAAGAACTGCACACACACGAAGTCCCAGTTCTGCTGCAGGTGAATTATGCCTCAATAAACTGGACTTTAAAAATGACTATGGGGATGCCTGCGTGGCTCAGTCGGTTAAGCATCCAACTTCGGCTCAGGTCATGATCTCACAGTTCGTGGGTTCGAGCCCCGTGTCAGGCTCTGTGCTGACAGCTCAAAGCCTGGAGCCTGCTTCAGATTCTGTGTCTCCCTCTCTCTCTGACCCTCCCTGCTCATGCTGTCTCTCTTTCTCTCTCTCAGAAATAAAAAAAAACATTAGAAAAAAATTTTTTAAATGACTATGTCCTTGTACCCAGAAATTTTCTTGCTAGAAATTTACCTTGAAAAAAATGGGATAATTTTGCAGTAACCAATATGTAAGAACATTCATTAGAACGTTGTTTAAAAATGTGAGAACTTGAAGGTAACCTAAATATCCTGCAGTTTGGTACTGATGAAAGTGCCTACAACTGCGTGCTATGTAACCACTAGAATGATACCATAGAAGAATACTGAACAAGCATGTGAAAGTGTCTGAGTTAAAAAGCGGGTATAAAACAACAACACAGGTGGCATCAGCCCATATTGGCAAATGAACACAAAATACTTATACGGAAAAAAGACTGGAAGTTTATAGGCCAAAATGTTAAGATAGTTTTATTTTTTGCTTTTTTTAAGTTTTTCAATTTATTTTTTGAGAGAGAAAGAGAGTAAGGGAGGAGCGGGGTGGGGGCGAGAGAGAGTCCTAAGCAGGCTCCTTGCTGTCAGTGCAGAGCCCAATGCAGGGCTTGAACTCATGACCTGTGAGATCATGACTTGAGCAGGTACCAAGAGTCAGATGCTTAACCGACTGAGCCACCCAGGCGCTCCTTTTTGCTTTTATATTATCTTGTCTGTGCCACTTGTATGTGGCAGGATAATGACAATGGTCATGGTGGTCATGCCTGTGTCATTCTGTGTGTCAAGGCTTGACCATGAACATATCACCCTGTCCAAGTAGAGAAACCCATGGACTGTTCTGGCATTACGTGAGACCATATATATAAAAAAAATGCCTGGCACATAGCAAGTGTTCAATAAGTGTTAGTTTTCTCCTTTCCCTGCCTGGAGGATAGGTCACTCTTACCTCCTCTTTGCTTACACGCCAGGGAGCTGGACACTCCCAGACCCAAAAGACTGGGCTCTTCCTACCATGGCCCCAGGGCATTAGTGCATTGCATCCTTAATGACTCCACTTATGTCCAGAAATCTTTTGCTCCTCCACTGGACCCACCAGAGTCACTCTCGTTTCTAATTACACAGGCAAAGGGCATACTTCACCCCCGGCAACTGGCTCGTTAATTTGTCAGCTCACACAATTTTTCACAAGGGCAGAGATAGGGATGCCTTTTGATTCTGAATTAGAGTACATTCTGATTTTTAATTATTTTCAATCCTTCTGTACACTGGGGGCTTCAGGCACATCCCTTGCTGTCTGAGCTCACTGTGTGGTCAAACTCCTTAACAGAAAATTTTTCAGAAGGAAAATTAACCTGAGTCCAAGCTATTCTAACACTAATCCCTAGGTGCTTGGTTGTATCTTTGTTCAGAAGCAACCCACGGATGCCCTCATCACTGTAGCACACAGAGACATGCTAAAGGAAAACAAATGTCCTGTGTCTCTCTCGAAGGCCATCTCATCTATATAAAGCATTTCTGCTGGCCTGAATTTATTCAGTTCTCATTGTCACACACAAGGGTCACTTCTGTGAGAAAGAACTTTCCTCCCCCAAATTTCATGCCTCATGCTGGTCAGACACAATCTGTAAATCCTGACTGGCAGTACAGGCTTAGAGATTAAATTAGAGATTTAATTCTCTTTTGCTTAGAGATCTTACAGAGCCGCAGTCAGACATGCAGGTTCACACCTTGCTGCCTGGGTTCAAATGCTGGCTTTATTACCGACAAGCTGTCTGTCATTGGAAAAATCACTTAACCTCTCTGGACCCCAGTTTCCTCATCTGTAGAATTAGAAGAATAATAACAGTACCCATTTCATATGGTTGTGGTGAGATTTCAGTGCTATATACGTGGTTGGCAATTATTATTAATAGTATGAGAAGTTGCATTATTGAACACACTTCTCTCAACGCGGAGGTGGGTGGGAAATTAGAAGCTCCTAGCACCCTGGCCGCCCGTGCAGATGCTTCTCTTGCCCAAGGAGCACAGCTGGGTGCTTGCTTCACCCCCTCAAGCCCCAGAAGTTTCATTTCTGCCCTTTGTGCTCAGCCACATGGAATGTGAAAGAGCCCTGGCCATGCTGCCTTGGGGCCTCGGGGCCGGAGGCCTGTGGTTTGGGGGACTGAGGATGTGGCCTGGGGAGCTCAGGGGGAAGCACAGAACACAGAAGTGACTGGCTGGAGAAGCAGAGTTTTTCCCTTCTGCCAGGCCTGCCTGGCACTGACCTCAAACAGCCTCATGCTGTCCTTCTCAGCTGCCTGGGGAAGGCTTTATGATACTGAGAGGAAAAGAAGGGGTAAAGGAAGAACTTGACTTCAGGGCCTCGGTGTGAGGTACTTGTTAATGAGTGTGAATGTGGGGAACACTGAAATTTGTCAGCTGGAACACTCTCCAAGAGTAGCTAATCAAGAGATTGAACCTAGACAGTACATCAGCTCTTAATTTCATAGTTGATTCAAATGCCTTAATTAGAGCAGCTAGTATCAAAGGAGAGGGCTGTTTTTACAAAGCTACCATTCCCATAAGTCTTGGTACAAAGGAATTCATTAACATTTCAGGGTCAGAATTTGGAGTTGATTTGTTCGCCGGTCCAACGTAGTTCACTAAACTGAAAACTTTCTACACACAGTCTACTAATTTCTTCTTAACTGCCGGTGAGCAGGGTCTGTGCAGGGTCATATGGAATGCGCCTACCCTTCCTTAAAACAAACTCCTCCATTCTCATCTAGAAAACAAAGTGGAAGTGAAATATTACTGTCCATCTAGATACAAATGAGGAAGTAGCCTACAAAACAGGAACTCCCAGGCAGAGAGGAGAGACAGAAGAAAAACTCACAACTAGCCATCAATGAAAAGCAATGTCCTCACCCGCGGACTTTTCCTAAATAGTAATGCTGCCGCTGTCTGCTAGAGGAAGGAGATGGCGGAGAGAAACGGTATTTCTGTCAGAGAGGGTTTTATTTTGTTTTGTATAAAAATCAATGACTTGGCCAGGCAATGCCTTTAGAAGTTATTTTGGCAAAACAGAGAGTCATAGGAGGAAGTACTTTCCAGTAAATCTGAAAGAGTGGGTCTGACAGTTGGCTGTGTGTTTGCTGAGTTTGAATTAGGATTCTTATCCCTAAGGAGCTCTTAAGAATGATTCTCAGACGAGTTCTGTCTGGGGAGGGAAGGGCTGTATTGCCTTCTTCTCAGACACTTAGAAGCTCATTAGTCATTAGAAACCCAAAGGTTACAATTAAGTCGTTCTGCTTTAGTCAAATATTCTAAATGGACTATACGTGGCGGGGGGGGGGGGAAATGTGCGCGCATGTACGCACGTCCACGCTAGCCTGTTCTGAAAAGGGTTGCAGGTGGATTACCTGGGTACACAAAAGTCAAAATAACATTAATTATAATTGGGTAGAAAAAGGAAAGGAATAGCAAAAGAAGGGCCACAGTGGGTTTGGAATAGAGACCAGCTTAACGCTATACGTCACAAATGCTATATACTTGCTATGGGTGGTCTTCAAATATATCTGTAGCCAAAAGGAAAATCAAATCCATTATTTATCCAATGCTCAGAAGAGTTTTTAAAAGCGTTAGGAGAAACACAGCTTTTCTAGAGACTATGACCTGATAGGAGATTGCACAAGAGGATTTCAATAAAGAGGACACTTTTTGTAACATGGTGAGTAACACCCTCGGTGATACTCTTTGGGGAGACAAAACAATTCTCTAAAAGAAACTAAACACTGAAAGGAGATGCCAGTTGGAAGCTTATTCTCCATAACTGTTTAAAAGTCACTAATATTTTAGTGACGCTGCATGCTGGTAGATTAGCACATCAGTCCAATTCAAGGCCATCTTTCAAGACTGTGTCTGTGGTAAATACCACACCAGCGGATTCAAATGCCTACAAATGGCTGACGCTGGACCCTTATCTAAGAGTATCTTCCAACGGATAGTACAGTACTGAGCATCTTCAGGCCTGGCTAGGGAAGGCTGAGCTTGACCTTGTTAGTGGTCCAGGGTGCAGATCCCGAGAGGGAATCCTTTATCAACTCCGTGTATTGTGGGCAGTTTGACAGATAAACTTGTCATCTCCCGGTTGACCTATCGTAGGCCTCTATTACAGTAACTTGTGGTTAATCAATTGAGCTCCAAATGACTTCTTTGCTTTGCTCTCTAATTCCCCTAATACAGCCCTTGCCCAGCTTCAAACGGAATGCAGATCTCCTTTCTTGAGCCAAACTCCAGGACACATTCCCATCAATACCTGTGTTCCATCCATACTGAACAACTGTACTTTTTGTTCCTAAATACTGATGCTAAACAGGGACTTCATGCCCTCGCTAATGTTATTCTTTCTGCCAGGATGTTCCTCCCCTCCCTGTATCTGCCTAACAAATGGAACTGATCTTATCAAGGCCTGATGAAAACCCTTCACTCACAGTCCCTTTCAACACCCCCAGGGCAGGATTAGTTGCTCCCCCTGCAAACCACTTTTGCAATCATTAGAACAAAGCTCTGTGTGTGTACACGTGTGTGTGTCTTCTGCAGTGTGTCAGGGATGTGCTCCTGGTCACCAGCGCCCAGGAAAGACTCTGGCACACTGCTGGGCATCTGCAAACACACGATGAAGGAATGCTCAGATTCCATGCTTTAAAATCAGGATGAATTCGGGAACAAGTCATATTGGAAGGCAGTTCAACTGTACAGACATATTGCCTTGCTACAGCGGTACTTGGGCCTTCTCTGAGCCTGGCACAGGCCTGAAGCGCAGCAGGTGGTGGAGCGGTGTGTGTTGAAATGGTGTGCCGTCTTGGATATGGAAGAACAGGGCCTGGGGACTTTATAACAGGATGGAGTGGGAGGCAGGCAGGTTACAGGTACAGATAGTTACCGGCGTAGACAAGTGCAGGCTTAGCACAAGGAAGGGCAGTCAGGGACGGGGGTACCGGGAGGGGGCTGCAGGCCTCCGACGTGGTCACACGGTCAGGTCCCTGCGGTTCGGGAGGTCCCTGGGGCTGGGGTGAAGGACAGAACTTGCATTTCCAGCAAGGGCAAGGCCCAGGCCTAGAGGTGGACCAACTGAGGCCTAAGTAGTTAGAAGAACCTGGGATCCAAGATGAGGGGAAGATGACAGCAGATACGGGCTTTGAATAAAGGTTTCCTAACGGCCCCAGGTCGGGACGCTGCATGGGGCCGCGCGCGGGACTGAGCCTGCAGGTGGAGGCTCGTGGGTACACCCTGGGGCGGGCAGCTCTGCCAGAGGTGGGCACCAGGCAGGGCCTGAAAAGCTGGCACCTGAGACTGAAATAACACAACGGATAGGTTCCAGGCCTCTGTCCTGTAAAATGCTTATTAAGAGTGACATCTAGGGGCAGATGCCTTCCTTTCAAGTTCACTCATCAAGCTGCCTGCTTTATGTAGACGCACCTGTGAAGGTGTTTGGGGGCCGTCCTGGCTTCTTCATCTGTATCTAACATACATTTGCTTAGTGCCTATGTGTCCAAAGAACATCTTCAAAACGCTTGATTATGTGCTAGGCTAGGTTGTTCGCACTCCTTGGAAACTGTTCTATTATGAAAGTATACTATAGGTATATACTGTGTGTCCTGTTCTCTTGGCATGAACTACTGATCTGATCGGGGGAAAAATATGTAATATTTATATTGGTAAGGAACTCTCCACAAAAATGTGAACAAGCACCATGCGTCACTTACGTATTTGTATAATTTAATAAAACATTAGATTTTAGGGGCACCTGGGTGGCTCAGTTGGTTAAGGGTCTGACTCTTGATTTCGGCTCAGGTCGTGATCTCAGAGTTGTGAGACTGAGCCCCGTGTCAGGCCCTGCACTGGGTGTGGAGCCTGCTTAAGATTCCTTTTCTCTTTCTCTCTTCCCCTCTCCCGCTTGCACATGCTCTTTCTCTCAAAACAAATAAACATTTAAAAAAAATGTTAGATTTCGTAACTAGGGTTGCTTCCTCTTCTGATGTGTAGATATTTAACCTGCGTCTTGAAGGCTTACTAACATCTATGTCAGTAGTCTGGAAATCTTTGCCTGAGTTGCTATTTCATAAACTCACAGAATACAATGTATTATGGAGAAGGAAGACACCCAGCAAGCCACCTGGTCTCATCCACCTCTAACCAGTTCTCTCCTCCACTCAGCAAATAACTCCTGAGTGCTCACTAGGTCTCAGGCCCCAGATGAGGGAGTCAGGTCAGGGGTGGCCCTGCTGGACTGACTCGGACGTATGCTGTCATAGGTGCTGTGAAGGCAGCATGCAGGGGCTGAGGCAAAGGATGACTCGAGGGACCTCGTTTAGGGGTCTGCTGTAAGTAATGACATTGAGGCTGAGATCTGAGCGTGTTCCGGGAGAAGGCAGGAATGGGGAGGATGTGGAGGAAGGCCACCGTGACCTTGACCAAGTGAGAGAATGTGGGGAGAGCCTTGTGGGGAAAGCTTAAATGGTTATATTTTATTCAAAGTGAGGGGAGGAGCCACTGAACAGTTTAGAAGGAGGCACACTCTATCCATAAAGTTCAGTCTTTACCCAAATTCTGGTTAATTTGTAACCTTGTAAAAGAGCAAATAATAGAATGAAGGAAAAACACTAAAATGTTGACAGTGTTTATTTCTGGAAGGTGGGATAATGGGTTTTTAATATCCTCCTAATATTTTAAATTTTTTTTTGCTGGATTTTTAAAAAAAACATTTACTACTTTTCAAATTAGAAGCAGAGTCCCCACATTCTTATATAAAAACAAAGGGGAAGCCAGATTTCATTGGCCAATGATATAAATGTATTTGCATGTAATCTGATGTTTTAAAACCGTTTAGTGACATTTAAAGCAAAGTGGTTCTAACATAAATTAGCAGGGGGTAATATATTGTTTTCTCTCTTCACTCTTCATTAGGGAGAGATTCTTCAGAAGATATGTATTTATCAAAATTGTCACCCTTGAAATGTACATGTTTAGCACCTGGTGTATAGGACATTGCTCCGAAGGCTAACCGATATTCTTGGATTCAAGTAGTAAGTATGCCTTGATTTTATGTCTTTTTGTCTGATTACAGCTTGCTCCTAAAGTCTGACCTATTCTAGAGATTATTTATTCATATGGTCCAGGGCTAAACTGAGTATTTTGGGAAAAAGAAAGAGGTGGGATAAAACAGTGCCTTCCTTTTTCATTTTCTGGCCTTCTATCTACTGGCCAAGAGCTAGATATATGTTTAAGTCTTTGTGGGGAAGGCTCACCTCACCCTTCACAAAAAGTGGGTCAGCTTTTATCCACCCTCCCTAACGGGTTATTCAAATGTGTTGCGTACATTAAATAATGTTACCATTCAAAATTAGCGGTTCCCTGGAAATGAGGACACCTTTGATTCAAAATGTAAATATAGACAACTTTTCCCAGCCTACCTAAAAGTGGCAGCTTTATTCTCCAAGATCCTGCATCGCTATTTAGAGGGTTTAGAGATGTACTCCCAGAGCCTGAAGGATGTCATCTCAAAAAGGGAACATAAAACTAAGAAACAGAAAAACTTCCGGAAGGCTTAGTAGTATGTTAAAAAAAAAAAATTGTCACAAGGTCTGAGTCAAATGGTGAAAAATCTGCTGCTCATCTTTATCAGGCTGGAGACTTTAGAAAGCCTGCGTCTGTACAGTTTTATACCCAGGGGTATATGTGCCCACTGGTATTCCTGTTGTCCGGTGGGGGGGAGGGTACACACGGGGGCAGGTTAGGGGGGAGGAAAAGCAGGCAGAGCTTGGACCCCCGCTTGCTCTTTAACCAGAACAGTGCTACTATCTTGTGTTTTGTATGTTGCCCTTGGGCTTGAGATCTCATGTCTAAGAGGGCTTCTCCACATAAAAGTTTTCCAAGTTAGAAGACCCTTTGTGATATATGTGACACCGGAGGCTACTGTGTATTAAATTTCTGCTGTGGTCTAGGCACTGGGAGAATGGGAGAAGCATTCTACGTATTTCATTCAAATAATCCCTAAAAAAGATCCCTTAAAAAAAAAAAAAGAAGTTTTAGTGGTTTAAGAAGCAGCTTTGGTCACAGGGACAGAGAAACGGCCCCAGACCTAAGCGGGGAGTGCTCGGGCGCCCCGCAAAGGTTTCACGCTTGGAGTGGGAGCTGCCTGGGGCCGGCAGTGACCTCTCCTCGGCCTCCCACACCCCAGGTCTTTTCATTAAAGGATATTTTGATACTGGACCACAAAGAAGATTACAGGAAGAAGCGCTGCTGGGACCCGAGGGGTGGCACAGGCGCAGAGGGCAGTCAGCCTAGGCAGTGATGCTGCCGGGCGGCAGGCAACGCCCAGAAAGGAGGAGGGCCTGCGCACGGGGGACAGACGCCTGGGTGACCCGCTCTCCCTCCGAGTGCCGGGGTTGCCACTGCGCTTCTGAAGCTACTCAGAGGACCCCCCTCCTCCGGGACGGGAGAATTGAGCGTCCCCCTCCTCTTTAAATGCTAAAATCCTTCCAGGTTATTTATTTATTTATTTTGGAACCGTTTCTCTGTTCCAGGAAGTTGCCACAATACGTGGTTTCTAACTTTTAAAAAAGCAGCACTGAAATGTGTCAGATCCCTGGAAATAGTCTGAAACCTGGTAGAGTTTACCCAGAAACGCACACTAAAAATCCTAAACCCATCTGGCCCGAGAGGTCTCAGCTTCTGTGACAAGCCTCCTGGAACTGTGGGGGGTGCAGGGGCGGGGAAGTCCTGTAATCAAATCGAAATCAGCCGGGAGAACAAACAAGAACAGACAGGTTTCAAAACAATAGGGACACCCTGGTTCCTGTTCCGCGCAAGGCCCGGGCCATGTCCCAGGGATAACAGGGGACTCAAGAAGAGACTGAAAACAGGCTTGTTCCGAACGGATTGCATACCACACCATGTTTAAGTCAGGCCTGAAGTGGGGGGCGGGCGCACTCCTTACAGGCGCCTGTGCGTGCAAAGGGCGCCTCTCTGCCTCTACTGCTCTGTCTTGTGTTTGTGTGGGCTATTAAAGTAGGTATTTTATATAGTCCCTACGTGGTAATTTTGAGGTCTGTTCCTTCACAGTTATTAAATTTGCAAGCGTGAAAATTTTACTCCTTGCGTTTCCGAACTATTTGATAGTCAAAAGCAGATGGAGCCCAGGAAGGAGTGAAAAAGAAAGAGGATGTGAACACTCCTAGGGAGACGGGGTGACCCACGCGGGCCCCTGTTCATAGGCGAGCAGGACAGGCCTGAGTTTTCTCGTACAACCCACAGTGGGGTTGACAGAATCTCAAGTGAGAGAAGAGACTGCCCTTTACCGAAGGGAAACTACATACAGTGGTGCAGCAAGAATTGCCTGTTAGCAGCCTGATAAATGCACACCTGTAGCACAAATCAGGAGCAGCTCACCATTGTTTGAGAGTCCTGAAGAATACATGTGGAATTTGGCTCTTCCAGGCCCTGTCTTGAACTGGAAATATCCAGAAGACAGACCCGCTTTCCAGGCACTCCTCCCGAAAGCCCCTTTTGGGCACAGCGCCATCCCGGCGTTCTCTGTTTGCCGGTCCCACTGATTGCAGAATGCGCTCTCTCACTTGCTGGGTGGTTTTAGGTGGGACGTTACTGAGAAGCCACATTTCGCACTCAGGGATAGGATGGAGGGAGCAGGGAGGAGGAAGGGTGGGCACGGGCAGAGAGGCCTTAACGTGGGGTGAGGGGAGGGCTGCCGTGCCTCGAGGCACCATCTGGTTGGCACTCCCCAAGGCGCGATGAAGAAAGAGGCCAGTTACCTGAAATTTCTGGAAGTGTAGGCTTGTCTTCTTTCCAGAAGTTCCCATCACAAACAGGAAGTCTGGGGTTAGCACAAATGGCACTCTCTCTTTATTGATGCCCAGGAAACTTTTATAATTCCCGAGAATGTGTCCAAAGTCAATATGAAATAGATTTCCTTAAGAGAAGAAAATGTCTGACATCATTACGCGGGCATAAGCGCTTGTAACAACACTCTGGTTTGTTTATTTCCTGAGATATGTTTTAAGTTGCCTGAAAATGAGCTATCTTGGGCAAGAGAGCTATTTTTACCCTGTTGTATCAGCTTGTGATATTTTTCGGCTTAGCAGGTGTGTATGGTAGTAACCACAAAGCGCTCTTTGAACCAAGTGTGTTTTTGATATCCTTCTGGTGTTCTTTAGATGACAGCCAAATGCCATTAAAAAAAATTCTCGTCTCGTCTCAGAATTATTCTTAGAGATAGAAGTCAGTACTCTCTGGCTAATCTGTCATCATTTTGCCCAAGACTCTCTTATGCCCTCAGGATAGACTGATGGTTTGCTCGGCTTGAGAGGGAGGGCATTCCCCTTTAACTTTTGAGTAGCATCATAGAAATATATCACTGTGACTCTCCTTTGAGTCCACTTCTACCACTGTCACCACTGTGATTACCACCACCTCCTCTTATTTAGATAGCCTGCTTCATATGTATGGGCCAGAAATACATGATGTCTTTTGATTCCCACAGAGAGTAAGCGGTTTACCTCCATATGGTGCCTCTTCCAGATCCCACTCTTAAACCGGTCCAGATTTCTTAGAGAAACCTTTCATGGCATGGTAGCCGATACTGACCCTGGTCAGAATGGTCCGTGAACTCGTGACGCGACATAGGGTAGGAAGGCAGTGCATCTCAGACGTAAGGATGTCTAGGACTTCCCTTTGTTGCTTCTCTGCAACATCTGACAGCACTGATCACCGCCTCCCTCACCAGCTTCTGAGACATGCCCCTGCCCTATCTTTCTAGCTAATGGCTTTTCCTTTGTCAGTCTCATTTCTGGTATCTTCTTCCTCCCTGGGGTGATCACAGCATCTATGTCCCTACACTGTAATGACTTCTAGATGTGTGCTCTAACCTTGAACTCTGCTTAAATATTACTTTGTGCCGAGGGACAGGGGAAATGGGGAGTCAGTACCGGTTCCGTGGGGACAGCGTTTCAGCTGGGGAAGATGAGAAAGTTCTGGGGGAGGGTGGTGGTGGTTGCACAGTAATGTGAATGTACTGAAAAGAATTTTTTAACATCTTTTTAAAAAATGTTTATTTATTTTTAAGAGACAGGGACAGAGCACAAGTTGGGGTGGGGCTGAGAGAGAAGGAGACACAAAATCCAAAGCAGGCTCCAGGCTCTGAGCTTTCAGCACAGAGCCCGACGTGGGGCTCAAACTTAACAACTGTGAGATCATGACCTGAGCTGAGGTCAGACACGTAACTGACTGAGCCACCCAGCCGCACTCCCATTTTTTTTTAATGTTTCTTTTTGAGGAGAGAGAGAGAGAGAGAGAGAGAGAGAGAACGTACACACACACACACGTGAGTGGGGAAAGGGCAGAGACAGGGAGACTGAGGGTTCAAAGCAGGCTCCATGCTGAGAGCCCCATGTGAGGCTCAAACCCACGGAACCGTGAGGTCATGAGCTGAAGTTAACTGACTGAGCCACCCAGGGGCCCCACAGGGTGAGTGTGTTAACTGCCACTTAACTACATACTTAACTGGCTGAGATGGTAAATTTTAGGTCATGTATATTTTTCCACAATAAAGAAATTATGATAAATAAACTCACCTGTCTCTGTGATCATAATATTGTCGTTGTGCCTGTCGCCTATTCCAAGAACAAAGGTAGCCACACAGTAGCCGGCACAGGAATAAACGAATCTCTCCACTGCTGCCTGAAACTAATGAAAATGCATCTGAATATCAGTTGTGTTCTGACTTCAAAGAGCAGGGTGGGATCTGTTACAAACGATTCCAAAAAGGCACTATTTTGGGAACCAGTTTCAAGCTCGTGGCACCTGATTTCATTAACATCTTATCTCCTAAGTGCCAACTTTCTCCTTGCTCTCCTTATATTTTAGGCGACCATTCAGTGACTCACAATAGCACATGGAGGAAACGAGAGTCAAAGAGCAGCAGTAATTTAATCAGAGGGTTCATTTCCTCTCTGTGCCATCATTTGCCAACGCTACAGAACCCTTAATAATTTCTCCTTCATTGGAGAATATGTGTTTTGCTTGTGACCACTTCACGTATGCATGGGTTCACAAATCCACATATATAACAGACTAATAAAGGCTGCTAATTATATTTCTCCCCAAAGGGCTGCTAACCATGCAAATGAGAAGTGGTAATCCTGTGCCGCAGAACTTGAAGCAGCAGCCAAACAGTCTAACCACGCAGCCTGTGAAGGATTCAGTGTATGTACTTCAGAAGGATGGTGGAACTGACATTTTCGTCATCTCTAATTTACCATTGAGAGTGCAGGAGTACATCAAAAATTACTTTATAGGATATGTGGCATCTCCCTGGTAGGAAAGGATTTATATCCATGGTAACTAGATTTTTCTGCCGAACAGCAAAAAGAGGTGGTCATGAAAAGGGCCCACCAAGTTATTTCATAGAACCAAATCTTATGCAAAGCATGCCTGATAGTCAAAGGAGAAACAAATACGTACCGGCATTCTGAACTGAGCACCTCCGTCTCACACAGATACGCTGTGTCATGCGGGAAGGTACTTAAAACCCCCACGGCCTCACAAGTAAAGGATTTCTCCAGCCCTTAAGAGGCACGACATTGGTAGATCCTTTGAAAACGGGAATCCATTATTGTTGCATAAATGGCAGCTCGTAAGGAGCCTTCAGAGTGTGGCAAAAGCCAGAGCTCACCTTTTCTTCAATAGGGCATTTTTCTTTGAGCCAGTGATTCAGGACTTCGTCTTTAAATGCTCCCGTGTTGCCCACAGTGCTTTGCTGAATTTTGGCAATTGTTGTGGCCTCTTTCACAATCTCGATCATTCCTGTGGGAGGATGCACAGAGCCGGATGTAAACTGGGGCCTGGGGCCTGACCCAGAGGAGGAATGGCTGGGTCTTTGTTGACAGATGGGCAGGGGCTTTTCAGCCGGAGGGGCTATTTCCCTGGTCTGGTTTTCTCACGCGGGGAGAGAAAGAAAAGGAGGAGGATCCGGAAGTGTTGTGGCACATGCTTTCAGTGTCCCTGAGTGTAAAGACGAAGGTTGGCTTTCAAAGGCGATAAGTAAAAGCACTTATGTGCGGAGCATATGTGCTTGGCGAACTGTGCCTTTTCCTTTTTTAATCACAGGGTCAAATGGAAGTGGTTTTGTACAGTTCTCAGATTGGAGACTTGAATAAAAATATGTCTGATTGAAATAAAAAAGGTAAAATGTCTGAAAAAGCACCTAAGAGTAGAGTAATAGCTTTAATAATGTGAGTTCTAAGATATTAAAATAAGTGACAGATCTTTACATCTATTTTTAAACGTTATTTGTGAGAAAGAAGTTTAATGTGCAGTGAAACGAGTTACAGTTTAGAGGTGGAGAAGTAAAGATGAGGGAACAAGTTCTTATGAAAATCATTTCCATGTATAGTCATGAGGATTTAAATCACACATTCATGTATTTTCAACAGATCCATGTTAAATCAAGAGTCACATTCACCAACCGTGGAATGTTTTCTTCCTTTTCTATTTGGATTATGATTATAATTTTTCAGTTATTAAATGCCTACACTAAAGGACTTAAGATCCTTTACTTTATTTTTACTTTTTTTTTTTTTTAATTAGAGAGAGAGCATGTGCACAAGTCGGGGAGAGGCAAGGAGGAGAGAGAATCTTAAGCAGGCTCCACACTCAGCTCAGAGCCCCCATGTGGGGCTTGATGCCATCATGACGTGACCAAAATCAAGAGTCAGACACTCAACCAAGGTGGGGCACCTGGGTGGTTCAGTCACTTGAGCATCCAGCTTCAGCTCAGGTCACGATCTCCCGGTTCATGGGTTTGAGCCCCATGTTGGGGCTCTGTGCTGACAGTTCAGAGTCTGGAGCCTGCTTTGGATTCTGTGTCTCCCTCTGTCCCTGTTCCTCTCCCACTTGTACGCCCTCTATCTCTCTCTCAAAAATAGCTAAACATTAAACAAAAAGGACTTATGATCCTTTAGAACAAGCTGAGAGGTATATTTATCTCCTGAAGTAATCACCTATTTTGTCACCAGTTGAAATGCAACCATATGGCAGGAGGCACAGATCCAGAGATTCAGTCTCCCAAATGGATTCCATGATTCGTAGAATCTAGACATCAAACACAAAAACGTTTCTGTTATATTGTTTAATAATTTTTCTTCTCCCTTAAAACAACCATCTTATCTGGTAACACAAAATATATAAGTCAGCATAAAGTTTGTAGGTCACAACTGTATTTATCAACCTGGTGCTCTACAGTTCCCCTTCCCTGGGAGCATGCTCACTTTGATTCCTGAGATGGACCTTGGGGAAGACGATATGTGGATTTAGCATGGAGAGAGGCTGTAAAGGTGTTTCAGCATTCAGACATTTCACTCCACTTTCGTATGTTTTTACCATAACAACAACAAGTGTTCCACCCTAACATTCTTACAAATTTTTACCCATAAGTCACCCTTGGGCTAGACCAAGGCGACGCTAGCCGTGATGAGAATGCTTGCTAATTTACCAAGTGCTGTTCTGTGTTGATCTTTTACATTCGCCCTATAATGTGAACATGATTATTACTCCCATCCTGCACATGAAGAGACTAAGTCCTCAAGAACTCACCGACTTTCCCTCACCTGCCAAGCAGTGTGCCTTAGCAGAGAAACAAGTGCATGAAGGCCAAGTGCAAAGTTCACCTCTAAACAAGAGGAACACAGTGATGCTTTGTGTTTCTGAAGAACCAATCTGTGAATAATCCAGAAGACTCTATGGATTTATTTATTGGAAGGGCAGCAAACCTTCAAAAGGCTCGAAAGATTTCTTTTTCTTTCTTTCTTTTAATACTTCCTTGACAATACATTTAGTATTTTTGAAAAGAGAGCAAAGGTATTATTGTTTCCATATTAGAAACGAGTACGAGCAGAAACAGAGAGAATTGAAAACATGACCCATTTTTAAATAGGCTATATTTAAATCAATGAGGTTTGCTTATTTTAAATAAACCACATTAAATATTAGAAATTGTGTTACTTCTCCTATGGTGGACTATGAAGATTATTTTCCAGGTTTGCAAAGCTGAAGTTGATCCAGAAATGTTAGAAAATATGGAAAATGATCAATATTGATTACCATCCACCCTCTGATCTGGTAACCTAGTCCTTCTTGTTACTTAACTGCATGATTTCTTCAATCACCTACCTGTTCATCTTCTATCGCCTTCCTATCAAATCATTCACTTGAGTTTGTGTACGCGGATGTAGATCAAAGTGAAGTATCTAAGGAGAGCACTCATGGGTGCACAGATATGTCTATAAATATGAATAAAGTGGATGCCAGGGGGGGTACATATGTCTATATTTTATGTTACCACACTAGGAATGGGGTGTATAAAAGAGAGGTTAGATGAGGGAGACATATCTAGCTATATGGGAAGGTTGAATATGCCTCTTCTCAGGAGTGGACAGCAATGGCCCACAATGGATTGCAAATCTAATGGCCCACGGCCATGTTCCCCCAGTGCAAACTCTCTGTTACAAAATCTTCGATCATTGTGCGTGGACAAAATAGGAGAATGGGAATAGAATCAGTAGCAGGCATTTTAAAAATTTTTTATGTTTATTTATTTTTGAAAGCGACAGAGAAACAGAGCACAAGTTGGGGAGGGGCAGAGAGAGATGGAGACACAGAATCCAAAGCAGGATCCAGGCTCCAAGCTGCCAGCACAGAGCCTGACGCGGAGCTTGAACTCCTGAACTGCGAGATCATGACCTGAGCCAAAGTCAGACACTCTAACCAACTGAGCCATCCAGGCACTCCACTAGCAGGCACTTTTCAGATCTAACACAGAATTCGTTTTTCAGGTAATTGAACAAAAAAAAATTCCTTAATGGTAGCATACCTGTAAAATCAGCATGTCTTGGCGCAGATCATCACCATGTTTAAAGATAATTCCAATTGTTTCATTTGATAGAGCTGTAGGGTCAGCACATTTAAACTCAAGCCATAGGGGCTTTTTCTTGGAGGCCATCACTTTACATTTTTCAATCTGTAAGGAAATAGTCATATGTTTCCTACACATAATGAATACATATTGTGGACATGTAAAGCCTCTTGCAAAACATTATTATAAATAACCAGTACAACATCCTAGTTGTAGGAGAAGATATTTGCAAATACATGTCAGATAAAGGGTTAGTATCCAAAATTTATAAAGGATTTATCAAACTCAACACCCCAAAAACAAAGAATCCAGTGAAGAAATGGGCAGAAAACATGAGTAGACACTTTTCCAAAGAAGACATCCAGATGGCTAACAGACATATGAAAAGATGCTCAACATTACTCATCATTAGGGAAATACAAATCAAAGCCACAGTGAGATACCACCTCACACCCTGTGAGAATGGCTAAAATGAACAACTCAGGAAACAACAGATGTTGAAGACGATGTGGAGAAAAGGGAACACTTTTGCATTGTTGATAGGAATGCAAACTGGTGCAGCCAATCTGGAAAACAGGATGGAAGTTCCTCAAAAAACTAAAAATAGAGCTACCCTATGACCCAGCAATCACACGATTAGGTAATTATCCAGAGGATAAAAAGATGCTGATTTTTAAGGGCATATGCCCCCCAATGTTTATAGTAGCACTATTGACAATAGCCAAAGTATGGAAAGAGCCCAAATGTCCACTGCTTTTTGAATGGATAAAGAAAATGTGGTATTTATATACAATGGAATATTGCTCAGCAATCAAAAAGAATGAACTTGCCATTTGCAACAATGTGGACGGAACTAGAATGTATTATGCTAAGTGAAAGAAGTCAGAGAAGAACAAATACATGATTTCACTCATATGTGGAATTTAAGAAACACAGCAGATGAACATAGGAGAAGTGAAGAAAAGATAAGATCAGAGAGGGAGGCAAACCATAAGGGGCTCTTAAATACAGAGAATAAACAGTTGCTAGAGGGGAGGTGGGTGGGGGAATGGGCTAACTGGGTGACGGGCATTAAGGAGGGCACTTATTGGAATGAGTACTGGACGTTATACGCAAGTGATGAATCACTAAATTCTACTCCTGAAACCATTATCACACGTATGTTAATTACCTTGGATTTAAATTAAAGAAACAAAAAACAAAGTCCTAGTCGGAAGATGATATTCAATGATTTGGGAAAAAATACAGAAAGCATTCTTACCAAATCTGAAAATGCTATAGGAGAGCAAGTTAAAACACGTAAAAGCAAGAGTTCTCAAACTGTGTTCCGAGGAACCCTATGAGTCTGTGGAGGTGCCCAAGAGGCAATGGCAGATCCTGTCCTCTGCGCACCCCACTCCTACGGGGCTCTGGTACTCCCAGGTGCCCATTACTACAGAGCAACTCTGTTGTTTATCCAAGCTCAACATTCCCTAGTAGTCAAAACATAAAGAAAACCATATCAAGGCCCATTCCAATCAAATTGCTTAAAACCATGGTGCTAAAAAGAAAATCTTGAAAGTAGCGTGGGGAAGAAAGACACGTACAGAAACCAGAGGTAAGAAGGACAGGAAACTTACTGACAGAAAATATGCAACCCTGAAGAAAATGCTGCTGAAAGGGAGGGGGAAAAAAGCCAACCTAGAATTCTATATTCAGGGGAGACAGCTTTCAAAAACAGAGGTCCAATAAAGAGGGTTTCAGACACACAAAAGCTGGAAGAATTTCTTACCAGAAGACTTGCACTATAAGAAATTTTTAAGGCTGAAGGAAAATGATGCCAGATGGAAACACAAACCTTTACAAAGAAATAAAGAGTCCCAAATGTGGTAAATATGTGGGTAAACATATATACATATATGTATATGTATACATATATATATATATATAAGTTGAATCTATTAAGTCTGTTAAATCTATTTTTAACTATTTAAAGCACTAATAACAGTATTTGGGTTTATCACATATGTAGAAGGTAAAAGCATGACAAAAATAGCATAAAGGTCGGGAAGAGGTTAATGGAAGTATACTGTTGTAAGGTCCTTATGCACACATGAAGTAGTGTATTATCTGAGTGTAACCAAGAGCATGAGGCAACAGACATTTTGATCAACGAAATGGACTAAAGAATCTAGAGATGGACTCACACATATATGGTCAGTTGATATCTGACAAAAGTGCCTAGGTATTTCAACAGATGGTGCCAGAAAAGTTGGATGTTTAACACCAAAAACCCCACACCGGATCTTTACTTTCCATCATACCCAAAAATTAACTCCAAGCTGGATCAAAGACTTAAATGTGAGAGTGAAAACTATGCAGCTTCTAGGAAAAAATATCTGTCACATTGAATTAAGCAGTATTTCTCAATGTTGGCACTGTTGACATTTTGGGCTAGATGATTCATTGCTGTTGGGGGGCTGTCCTGTGCAATGTAGGATGTTTAGCAGCATCCCTGGTCTCACCCTCTAGATGCCAGTAGAATTTTCCCAGTTGTAACAGTGAAAAATACCTCTAGGCATTAACAAATGTCCCCTGGGTGGGTGTGTGTATTGAGGGGTGTCTCCCCAGGTTGAGTATGATTGGATTAGGTGAATGTTTCTTTTTAAAATTTTTTTTAATGTTTATTTATTTTTGAGACAGAGAGACAGAGCAGGAGTGGGGGAAGGGCAGAGAGCGAGGAGACACAGAATCCAAAGCAGGCTCCAGGCTCTGAGCTGTCAGCACAGCTGTGAGATCATGATCTGAGCCAAAGTCAGACGTCCAATCGACTGAGCCACCTAGGCACCCCGCAAATGTTTCTTAGGACACACAAAAACAAACTATAAAAAAAGTGATAAATTGGACTTAATAAAAATTTAAGAACCCTTCTGCTCTCTGAAATGTACTACTAAGAAAATGTAAAGGCAATCCGCAGACGGAATTTGTAAAATGTATACCTAATAAAGGATTATATCCAAAATATATAAACAACTCAAAAATAAGAAGGCAGCCCATATTAAAAATGAATGAAAGATTTGAAGAGAAACTTCTCAATAGAAGACAGAAAATAAGCAAATGAGAAGATACTTAACATCATTACGGAAAAGCAAATGAAAGCAACATTGAGATGCCACTTCACCGTTGGAATGGCTAAAATTAAAAAGATTGGTGATATTAAGTGTTGGCAAGGATGTAGAACAGTTGGAACTCACATACATTGCTGGTGGGAATATACAATGGTACACACTTTGGAAAAGCAGTTCAATAGTATCTTATAAAATTAAACACACACGTACCATGACTCAACTATCTCGCTGTTAAATATTTACTCAAAAGGTGAATGGAAAATAAATCATAGTATATCCACACAGGGGACTACTCCTCAGTCATAAAAAGGAACAGATGACTGACACACACAGCGACATGGATGCATATTAAAAGCACTACACTAAGTAAAAGGATACAGATACAAAAACTACATACTGTATGATTCTACTTCATGAAATTCTAGAAGATGACGTGACAGAAGCAATTCTTCAGGATAGGAGATGCAAGGAGGGAAGGACTAACTGCAAGGGGACACAAAAGAACCATCCCTGTAACATCTCTATGGAAGCGCTCTGTACCTTGGTTGCAATGGCGGCGGTTACGTGATTGCACACGTTGGTTAAAACTCATTGCACTGCACACTTGAAATGAACAAATTTTACTGTATGTGAATGAATCTTTAAGAAAGCTGATTTAAAACAAAATGGATGCCTGGTTTTGAGGCTTTGAGGAGCTAGTGGCTAGAGAAAGGCTTGACGGAAGCCCATCCAGGGACTTTCCAGCTTCCGTCTCTACAGAAACATTAGCTTTTAGCCACGCGGCCCTGTGAAGCGCGCACAGACAGTTGCAAGACAGAAAGACCACTTGAGGACATCGAGGTGATACCTACCACGAGTGCTCCAGCCTTCAGTCCAGGATCATATGGGACTCTAAAGCTTTTGGGGAGATTCGAATTCTGCAGGTTTTCAAGCTTTTGCTTAAGCTGTGAAATAACTGTAATTGCCAGAAGCACACAAAAGTTACATGAGTTCAAGAGATCACTGACATTATCTCTAGCATTTCCTGAGGCCACGTCTATGCATAACATTCTATACATTTGGTCTGGTGTGGAGCAGGAGCAAACGGTGGAGGTTTCGGTCTCTGAGGAACTAACCATAAGACGTCGCGAGGTAAGTCGGGTTTACCGTGAGCAAGACGGCCATGGACACGATTCTACAGCAGAGGATAGAAGTATGTGAGTGAATATATGGGATGCCAAGACAGTCATGTAGGGAAGGATAGTTTGAGGGTAATGCTACGGAATATATACTGTAGTTCTCTTCCCACCATGGGAAACTCTGAACTGCCGTTCGGTTTGGGGAACAGATGTTCAAAGACCATATTAAATGCAATTCAGTCAGGGTTCTATAAATTCTTTTCAAAAGAGGAAGTCAGGTTATGTGGAGACAGCGTGATAGCCTCAAAACTCAAGTGTTCTTTAGAATTCTAAATTCTAAGGCAAAATATATAGGTTAAAAATTACTTCCTGGACAACATACTAGAGGCTGGTACAAGTGTTTCCCTTTCTTACTTATGATGAAAATAAAAGTAAGATGATGGTTACCATTATTATTTTTTTTAGAGAGAACGTTATTGGTGTATTGGAAAAGAATTCAAGGGGAAAAGTAGAAATTCAGAATATTCTAAACACTAGCTGAGTATGTTAGTATATGTGTCCATTATGACCCAGAGTGCTAGGTCTACGTATATAGAAATGAATAAGAAATATCCCCTAGTTTCAAGGCTCATGCCGTTTACCAGTCAGAAAGATGTGTCAATGACTACATTTTAATATAGTATCAACCCAAGCCTGTGGGAATACAGAGAGAGAGTGATCAGTTTTCCTAGGGGCAGGGACAGGATTTCTTAGGGATAAGATCATATTGGAAATGACATCAGAAAGGAGGTATATATGTCTGTTTATAATTAGGCTGATCTCTATATAAAGATATGTAAAAAATGTAAGTATACTGACATATATATAAATATACATAGACAAATTTGTAAATAGCTTCTCATAATTCATTTCTTTAAAAGACTAAATATTTGAAAATATACACATCTATTGAAAGGGAGGAAAAAAGTAAATATTTGCAAGTAACTAGTCTTTGTGTATATGCGTGCAATTGTTTTTGTTTTTGTTTTTTTAGTTTCAAGTTTTTATTGAGATTCCAGTGAGTTCACATATAGTGTAGTTTCAGGCATGCAAATGTTCTTAAATATACACCTTACATCTGCATGATGCTTTTTAAATTTTTCAAAGAGTTTAACGTCTATTATCATACATTCATCATTAGCATATATACGTACGTAGTTTTAAAAACTACAAACTTGAAAAAGGGGGACTTTAAATTTGCTTACTCCACAAAGACAGAATATTGAAAAATGTGTTCTTGGCTTTCTTTAGAATGGTACAGCTCGCCTTCCCGAAGGAAGGAGAATCATAGGGATGATGACATTGGAAACAGTACCTTGGGAACTGACATCATACTTTTCAGCAGAGAGCGATTTAATATCAAGGGTGACCTTCTGTAGCATCTCGATCACTTGAACTTGGTCAGTGAAGTCATGCAGCATGGCCGTGCCACAGCCCCTCAGGTAGGCTTCTAGAATCACGGCAAACCTCTGCTGGTAGTGTCTGGACTGTGCTATCTCGCTTCTCAAGAACCAAAACAAGAAGTGACCAATTCTTTTGTTCTGGAGGTGGGAACAAGAAGGATGAAACGGTTGTGACTAATGCTCTATCAGTCAGTTCTCACTAACTTTTAAAAGGTCACACTATTCTCAGAGTGGAAGTACTTACTCTGAGGCCACGCTTCAGCAGAAATCTGGCGAGAGCACTGTCATGATAGGGCTCAAATTTCACAGCCTAAAGGAAGAACACAGGGGGCATTTGTAGGACCGCGTTCTATGTTGGTTAATAATGGGGGAGGTAGTGGGGCGCCTGGGGGGCTTAGTCGGTTAAGCGTCCGACTTTCGCTCAGGTCATGATCTCGCGGTTCGTGGGTTCGAGCCCCGCGTCGGGCTCTGTGCTGACTGCCAGCTCGGAGCCTGGAGCCTGTTTCAGAGTCTGTGACTCCCTCTCTCTCTGACCCTCCCATGCTCACGCTGTCTCTCTCTCTCTCTCTCTCTCTCTCCCCTAGAAATAAACAAAACATTAAAAAATAGTAATAATGGGGGAGGCAGGAAATGGAGGAGAAGCGCTCTGCCTCACTGGGTCTTTTCTGGCTAGGGTGAGAACAATCTTACCGGTCACTTCACCCAACCCTTTCGTTTCGAGGACACTTTGGGTCAAAATGAGCCACTTGCTTACGGACTGGGATCAGAAACCAAAACTCTTGACTCCCAGTTATGTTCTTTTGCTGTCTTCAAAGGTGAAGAGATTAAGGTTTTAGCTCCCATGAAGGGCTTACGTGATTTGTTGGAACGATAGAGGGGAAACATGGGGATGGCTGTAACACATCCATAAAAGAGGAATGTAAAAGAGGTTGTTGGAAAGAACATGGACGGTAGAGACGCAGTACATGTAATGAGAAAAATATCTTAGAGGTGAAGATCCTGAAAATACTGTAGCTTCCCTTCAGCTCAAGATGTGTTTGGTATCTCGCTGGCGGGTCACCACGCCACCTCATGGGCTCTTACTCCAAGTAAACAGCAGGCCTGGATCCATCCACACAGAGTGACCACTACCCTCTGCCATGCTGTCATGTATACAGAGACTTTTGTCTGAGAAGTCTGAGAAGTCTCCAAGTTTATGTGCTTCCTCATGTTCAGTAGTTTTCGTATCACTTGGCTATTATAGAGGTATTGACTTGCATGGCAGACAGCTCTATGACTGAAGAAAAAGCACCAATAAAATAGAAACAATAATTAAGAATGGCGGATGTAGGGGTACTTGTTATACCATTCTCAGTACTTACACTAAGTCTGCAATAGTTCATAATTTTTTGGCAAGACTAACAAATATAGTTTAGATGGTTACAGATGCGTACATAAAGTTAGAGGCTAATATCGTGTGTGCATAAAGAGAGGCTTAAAATGAAATATCTCAGTATTGCCTTTACAGATAGAAATGGTCTACCTTTTTTTTCCCCCAAGGAACAAGAGACACTCCCATTTCACTTTATGTTTTAGGGTCTGTGGGCTTCTTGGTACAATTTCCAGTTCTTACTCTGGTTTTCCAGTTTGGAAATGATCAATACTGCATTTATCCCCATGCTTTCAAAGATGCTTTTATTTTATTTATTTTTAATTTTTTTAAATGTTTATTCATTCTTGGGAGAGAGAGAGAGAGAGAGAGACAAAGTGTGAGCAGGGGAGGGGCAGAGAGGGAGGGAGACGCAGAATCTGAAGCAGCTCCAGGCTCTGAGCTGTCAGCACAGAGCCCAATGCGGAGCTCGAACCCACGAACCACAAGATCATGACCTGAGCTGAAATTGGGTGCTCAACCGACTGAGACACCCAGGCACCCCTCAAAGACGCTTTCATGGCTGTGGGCCAGTAGGTGCCTGTAGCTGCCGTTAAGATCTGAATTCTGAGAATGTGGTTTATTTGGCCACCGGTACAGACTTCAGAATTGTTTTTTTAAGTTTCTAGCTCAAACGTGAGTCGTTTCGACCTTATTCGTGTTTCACTTCTGTAAACACAATGCAGGTCTCAACTAGGAGACCATCTTAATCAGGAATGAGTCATTGAGCCATATCTGAAAATGTCTCAAACAGTTTTACAAATGACTACTCTTCTTCAAGTCTCTGGCCACAAATTCAATGTTAATATTACTTATTGACCTCTTTCATTTAAGACATTTCCAAGGAGAACACAATTCATTTTCCAGTTCTGCAAAATTTTCTTGTGAATATGACAATGAAAAATAATTCATGAGTGAATTAAATTTCATTCATTTTCATTTGTCTTCTGTTAGTATCTGAACTAGTGGGCAGAGAAAAATATTAGATACATTTAACAGATGAAGGCAAAGGTCGAGTGTAATGATTTCAAGTATCTGCTTAGTGAGAAGGTGGAGATTCAGAGTTAAAATTGAGAATATCCAAAATGCTTATCAGAAAACTCCAGGGCCTTCCTCTAGCTACAAATAATGATTAGAAAGTTTAGTGTCTAACACTAAGACTGGCTAATCCTAAAGAGCTCAGATCAGAGCGCCTGGTGGCTCAGTCAGTTAAGCATCCAACTTCGACTCAGGTCATGATCTCACAGTTTGTGGCTTCATGGGTTCGGGCCCCGCACTGGGCTGTGTGCTGACAGCTCAGAGGCTGAAGCCTGCTTTGGATTCTATATCTCCTCCCACTGTGCTCCTCACCCGCTCACGCTCTGTCTCTCTCTCCTTCAAAAATAAATCAACATTTTAAAAAATTAAAAAAAAAAAAAAAGCTCAAGTCAAACATAACTTACTCGGAACGGCCCCTGATTTCCTCGATCTAAATTAAGTATTCCCAAGACTCCTGTCTATTTTCTCATAATACCCTACAAATCTCCCCCAAAGCATTTGCACAGTTTGTTATGAAATATCTGTTTGTATGTGTATGCATTTAATGTCAGTCTCCTCCACAATGTCACAAGCTATAGGGGGACAGAGATGGGCTCTATTGTGATCACTGTTCTCTCTCTAGCATCCAGAACAGAAGTGCTAAGTACATGTTGTTGAATTAATGGAGGGACACGTCTGCACTCTAAAATAGCATTCTGTTCCAATTCCTTTACTTCCTCTTCCTTGTGAAGCAGCACAATACGGTCTCAGAACTGTTCTGGTGTGCAGAACTGTACCTCTCTTTTGCTTTAACTTCCTAGGTACACCTTAGGCAAATCACTTAGCCCCTCTGGGCTACCTGGAAAGGTGTGAGAACAGGAGTGGAAGTCCTATACCAGACCTGTCTGAAGAGAGGGGCTTTTGAGGTCCCACTAAAATAAGAGATGTTATTCTATGAATTATGATAAGTGTGATCAGAGAGGGTGACCTTTTCTTTTTTTTTTTAATGTTTTATTTATTTCTGAGAGAGAGAGAGAGAGAGCGTGAGCAGGGGAGGGTCAGAGAGAGAGGGAGTCACAGAATCTGAAACAGGCTCCAGGCTCCGAGCCGGCTGTCAGCACAGAGCCCGACGCGGGGCTCGAACCCACGAACCGCGAGATCATGACCTGAGCCGAAGTTGGACGCTTAACCTACTGAGCCACCCAGGTGCCCTGAGGGTGATCTTTTCTATCTGGGACACACTATCTTGACCCTGGGTTAAAAAGAATTTTTTTAATGTTTATTTATTTGTGAGACAGAGAGAGAGAGAGAGAGAAAGAGAGAGAGAGAGAGAGCAGAGGAGGAACAGTGAGAGAGGGAGACACAGAATCTGAAGCAGGCTTTAGGCTCTGAGCTGTCAGCACAGGGCCAGACAGAGGCTGGAACTCACGAACCATGAGATCATGACCTGAGCCAAAGTCAAACACTTAACCAACTACGCCCAGGCGCCCCCTCACCCTTGACTGATGCAGGAAATTGGGAGGCAGTGAAAAGAGCAGGGCCTGGAGTCACACTGCCTGAGTTTGATTTCTGGTCTGATTCTTTCAACGTATGTGACCTTGAGCACATTACTTAGACTCTCCGAGCCTCAGTTTCCTTATGTATAAAATGCATATGTTAATTTGACCTCCATCATAGTTGTTTGGAGAGTTCGATGTGATAATATACGAAAAGCATGCAAATCACTTGCTGCCTCAGAGCCTTGGCACAAGGGAACATTCCACAAGTCACATCTGTCACTAATCCAGTAAATGAGAGCAAACTACTCCTATAGGGCCAGTTTTCCTAAAAAGCAAAATACTATGTCTTCACAGTGCTTGTTGGCAACACCTCAAAGACAGTAAAAAAGGTAAATGGAACAGTTCACTACCGTTTGAAGTGGCTTCATCAGATCTCCTTTGACTGACTGTGACACTCTATGGGCAAAGACCATTTGGTAACAACTGAATGGGGTGCCTGTGCACACGCAAATAAACTCTCTGAGAAGAGTGCTCCCTTGAGAGCACCAGAATCCCTACCTGGACCAGCTGTAGCAGGTAATGCAGAACATCGTCGTCTTCCAAGCTCTCCAGTTTCTGCACTGCAATGGCTCTTACATTTTCATCCGAAAAGTTGCAGTCCAGGAGTTGCATTGTTAACCCCACATCCAAAGCACTTTGATCCCAGACCTCCCGTCTGGCTAACAATTGGTATGTTTTGGCTACAATTTCTTGCTGTCCCCATTTTACAGAGCTAAAGAGCTTAGGATACGCCTTTGGATGCTTAAGGCTTTCATATCTAAAATGCCAGAGCAGTTCTTTGTCCTCTGCCGTGAGAGGGTTAAGTGGATCAGTGGCTATGATTGCCTCCAGTTGCTTCCGAAGCTGGTTGGGCATTTCTGCTCGAACCCGGTCCCCTTCGGGGTCAGGGGTGGGCCGATGCTTAGGTAAGGCTATTGGGTGGCAGTAATTGTCCAGAAGGATGGAGATGGACATCGAGTTCTCCTTGTCTGGGTTGGTCGCCGACGTGAGCTTGTCCGCACTGAAGCTCCCTTGGTCTTCTCCCTTTCCAGATATCTGCCACATGTGGAGCACATACTCCCCGTGGCGCAGGAGGAATCGGTGGTCTATCAGCAGCAGGTTCACATAATAGAGGAGCTGAGTTTTGCCTCTGGCCTCGGAACTGGGAGTCTCTGCAGAGGCCTTGCCCGGCAGCACTGGGGCTTTGCTACAGTAGATCTGAAGGTTGAGTAGAGCCCCTCTGGGTAAGTCTTTGATTTTGATACTGAACTCGAGCCACACATTCCAGAGCACCTCCTCTGTAAAGGGCTTGGGGCTGGTTCTCCTTTGGCAAAGGACTTGCTGCCCGTGCTGGATGTTTGCCTCCACGAAAACCGTGAGGTCGGCGTTCCGGGGCAGCACAGGGATATCAATGCCTCTGATTTTGACCCTGAACTTCCGGTCACAGTCCCACAGGGACACGGTGAACACACTCTCGTGGTCCTTCCCGTGGATGGTCAGCTGCTCATGGTAGCCGGTGACTCCTGTGCAGTCATCCACCAGGGGCCACTCTTCCTTCCTCACCTCGTCCAGGGCCGGGTCTGGAGGCGTGTCAAGCACCAGATGGATCTCTTCTCCATTCTTGAGGCACTGCCTCACCCACTGGAAGTTCTTGATGGGCGTTTCACCCACTAGGTACTCGTCCCGGCCGCAGACGCGCAGCACAAAATCCTGTTCGCTCTGGCTTTCGGGGATATCCATCAGAGACTTCTTCTTGGCCATCTTGGTGAAGAAGCTCTGGAGGATGGCGCCTGGGGTGTCGTCGGCCGAGACCTTGATGGTCTGGCTGGTGGTGCCGCGGTGGATGACGATGAAGACGCAGTTGTTGGCGATCTTCTTCAACAGATACTCCGGGAGCGGCTTCGAGGTCACCCACGGGTGCATGGCGTAGAGCCGAGGGTCGCGGCCGGCCACCTCCGCCGTGCGCGGGGTGACCAGGCGGCGGCGCGTGAACTCGAGCTCGTTGTCGTGCACGTTGCTGACGTCGGTGACGTCGTAGCCGATGAGGGCGGTGAGCTGCCGCTGGAAGGCCCGCGTCTCGTCCGAGGGCGCCCGCCGCTGCACCAGGTGGATCTGGCCCGGGCTGCGGCGCAGCGCCTGCCAGTAGCGCAGGCAGTCCAGCGTCTGCACCACCTGGTGCTCGTCGTAGATCTCGTACCACTGGCCCTTCTTCTGGTAGAGGAGGAGGAAGTGCTCGGGGCCGAGCCGGCGGTAGAAGTCGGCGGCCGCGCTCGTCTCCAGCGCGCGCAGCCACGCCTGCGCCTTCATCTGCGCCACGCTGCCGCGGCCGGCCACGTGCAGCAGCGCCGTCTCGGGGGCGCCGCCGGCGCGCCGGCGGGTGGGCAGCACGAACTCGACGGCGGTGAGCTCCGCGGGGGGCCCGGCGCCGCGCGGCGTCATCCTGCGGCGCCGCCGGCGGCCGTCCGCCCTCAGGACCACGGGCTCCTCACGGCCGCTCAGCTCCATGCGCTGCGCGACCTGCGGGCGAGACCCAGAGCGCCTTGTCACCTGCTGTGCACCTTCTTCCCGAGGCGGCAGAGGCGCGCGAAGACGCGGGGGCTTTGGGAGCGGGGCCCGCAATCCCGGCCCCAGCGCTTAGTATCGGGTTGGAGAGTCTCTGAGCCGTTTCCCCGGCGTCAGATGGGGTTAGTGATCCCTCAGAGGTGAGGGTGAAACCGGGTTCAACACTTGCTCGGCACGGCCGGCAGGTACGTGGGGGTTCATCAACCAGGTACTTTCACTGTTTGAAAGTTTAATTAAGGAGAGAGAGAGAGAGAGAGAGATGTGAAGCCTTCATCTGGCACAGTCCCTGACGCATTGTAACGGCTCAACGTGGTAGTCGTTGTTCTTGAGCATGCTGAAGTGGATAGGTGAATAAAATCATCCAGTTAAAGGATCACGTTCTAACTTTCAAGGTGCCGTATGAGATGCTGACACCCCACACTTTGCAAACGGCCCTCGACGTGTTTCATCTTACACTCTGCCCTGGGACCGAGCGACCTTGCCCAACCGTGCTTCACATTCTCGATTTTCAAACTGTCTGGATCAGGTATTTCCTCCCTAGTCAACTTCCTGTCTGTCTTTTTCTTTCATTTTTTTTTTTTCTTTCTAGTTAGGAAAGGTAGTAATTTCATTGCTAATATTCAAGAACATCAGAATTGGTGAAGTCGCAAGCAAGAACCTTTGCAGATATTTGAATTTTTGAATCACGAAATGTGTAGACATTCTGGCTGTCATTGCTACTTTAGAGCAGTGTCTTAGGGGAGTCACCCAAGACTGTACTCTTCTAGTATGAACATTCGGATATTTTTTTCTTTGTACCAATTCATTCCATCTGCCCCTGTGTTAGATGGTGCAGGAGCCACCAGATTGGAGAATGGATTTCTGGACTCCAGTGCCCCGCTATTTGGACCCCAAGTGATCACTTAACTTCCCTTTTGCTCTCATGTTTTCATCGCTGTAATGAGAATTCACAGACTGATTCTTATCAATTCACTTTCCTCAAATCTTTAATAAGTACCTACCTTGCACAAGGCATTTCAGTATAAGTGTGACAGAATGCAGTAGGAAACACTTCAAATAATAGTTGGAATATTAAAAATATTAAAATTGAAATATAAAGGTGTTTTGATTTTAATACCTAGTAGTACTATGTTGTAAGATATGTTCCACATAAGAATCAAATACTGAAACAAAAATTGTTTCTGATAATGTCATTTACTCTCTTAAGTGACTAATGCTAGTGAGACTCATAACTACTTATCTCCTTAAGAAATACTGGACCGTTTGATATGTACCAAAAAGGAGAGTTTGATTCAAAGATAAGAAAGACAAGTTTCAAATCCTGACTTATGCTTACTTTTAAAGTAAATATTCCCTCTCTTAAAATATTATGAAGTTATTGTTAACAAGTACAGAAAGTAAAGTCCTGTCTCGGAGGACTATCACTTGTAGCATTTAATTCACTATTTGGTCTGTTGCTACATTATAGAACAACTACTAACGAAGAGAACTGCAAGATATATTTACATTGACACCAAACTGAAGCAAAATAGGTCCGAATTGAGGCAAAATACAAATACACGGCCATAGTTTCTGCCTCCGTGCTACCAAACACTCTTACGAGATACAAGAGGCAGAAGAAAACAGGCTGGCTAAATACTCACTGCTTTCCTTCATGGCTGAGGCTATGAAGCTTTCTCCTCTGATGAGAAGACGTCAGAAACACCGTTAAGCACAATGATCACGAAGCATGCACTTGTGAGAACGTGAAACCCGGCTGGCACAAGCTCTTGTGCCCTCCCTCTTCCTCCCAAACAAAAACAACAAACAAAAAGGACAGATGCACCTGCGAACCTATGCCTGGAACCTTATGGATATCCACACGTATAGGTCGGGCCAGACAATGAAACTGAGGCAATCAGTGGTGGCATCATCTCAAGAACCGACAACTGTTCCAGATAAAAATATTCTAGTCCAGACGGAAGTGTCACTGTTCCGAGTCAGACCCAACAAAGGGCAAAAAATAGAAGGAAGTAATACCTGATAAAGCGGCGGAGGTGATGATGCTGAAGGATCATTTGTTTAATTTTTGAAAACAAAACAAATTCGAATCTGCCCAGTGTGCCTCTAAACTCTTCCGCTTTTCTGGGTCTCCCTTCGTATCCAGATTCAGAGGAAGTGTTGCAGTTACCAGGAAGGAAGTTTTAACCAAGTTGATTATACGTGTGATTGCTCATTTTAAAAGTGTCAGAAATGCATTTCCTGTTATAGCACAGAGTGAAACCTGGGAGTGAACAGTGTTTACCATATATATTCTACTCTTTAGAACTACTTTTTAAATGGGAGAGACTGAAACAAATTAAGATACACATTCACATAAACACATGAGACATAAATATTCTTTCTAGATAGTTCTTAGAAGAAAAGGCCCAACAGTCACAATATTAGAGAAACAGCCTGGTAGGCAGATTTTTAAGAGCTAAATTAAACTCATTAGTCCTGCAAAGCTCATTTCATTAAATTTTCTTTGTAGGAACTCAGATGAACTCTTGTTCACATGCTGTAACTGAGGGATGGGGGAAGAGAAACCTAGTGATCCAGGGGCCTCAGTTACCAAGCTGAAGATTTTCAAAGACAAGTTATGGGAGCTTGCCTCCTTACCTTGCTGAGACATTTCTGTATATTTTCTGAGCATCCAGGGTCCAAAATATCACTGGTGTGTGTGTGTGTGTGTGTGTGTGTGTGTGTGTGTGTGTGTTTGTACGTGTGCGCCAATGTGTGTTGTGGGGGGGGGGAGACGTACTGTGAGCAATGATTGGCTACAGACAAAATAAAAGGTTTCTTGGTGTCATAGGAAAATTGGGGAGCTGAGAACTGTCACACCATCAGATAGTCACTAAGAGATGGCTCCTGAGTCCCATCGGAGTGGAGAATACATAGAAAAGCCATCCTAGGGGGGCACCTGGGTGGCTCAGTTGGTTAAGCGTTTGACTTTGGCTCGGGTCATTAGTTTATGATTCGTGAGTTTGAGCCCACGTTGGGTTCCCTGCACTCAGCACAGAGTCTGCATTGGATCCTCTATCCTCCCTCCCCACCTCTCAAAATAAATAAACATTAAAAAACACTCAACAAAAGAAAAAGGAAAGCCATCTTAAATCACTTTTAGAGCAGCTCTGTATTTTCAGGTGTCCTCAATCCCTTCTAGAACCCCCAAGCCCACTCATATCCTAAACCAGTGTTCTGTCTCCTCTATCCCAGGGTTTTCTATACCAGAGTTCATTCTCCAGTCTGGGCTCTCATGGACTCCAGCTGAGCCCCAGGAACAGCCAGTAGGATGGTGCTGGCCTCACAGCTTTCTTGGGGGTATATAATTGAGAGGTTCTCTGAATTCTTTTGACATCAGAATAAATTATTGTTGATCCGATCTGTCTCCTTTCACATAGACCCCTTGGGGTCTTAATTTTCTGCAAACAGTTTCTACACATGATCAAAGAGTACCTGTAATAGTTGACATCAAGCAGACAAACCATCCAATTCAAAGACTGCTTCCCAAATATTTAGAGGGGAGGCTTATCAGCTTCCCAAAGTATATTCCTACTTGGGAATACTCCCTTGGGAGGCTGGCAGATTTAGAAGCCTCAGTGCTGGCCCTCTTGATTGATTCTGAATCAACCACGAGGGACCAAGGAGCCGTGCTAAAGGAGTTTGCCAAGCTATATGCGCTGACCACAGACGGACCATGAGCTTGGTCAGCCCTGTTCCCCAGACCACACAACAGATACCTTCCCCACCCTGGCTCAGTCACACCCAGGGGGCCAAATCCCAGCCTGATTACCACCGCCCCCCCCACCACCACCACTTCCCATATACACACACTAGTTATTCCTGCTGACTGACTCTTGGGTCTCCTTGCTGCTAAAGGAACTACTCAGCTAAGTCCAATTATGCAAATATTGTCTGTTCTATGACTAAACTTGCAAATGGTTCAGGCTTTATTGGTGGTTTGAGATTAAAAATACCCTGCTCTTCCCCAAATCCTAATATAGCCACTAAAATTTGACTGTACGTCATAGCGTTCCAAGACAGAAGTCACGGCCAGTATCTCCTTCCTTTCACTGGATACTTCCTCCTTGCAGAGGAATCTTGTACTAGTTAGGGCCTCTTTCATCCCCAGATTCTTTAAGTTAGAAGACTTGTAGGCTTCCTCATTCACCTGCTTTATTGATATATTTCTCTTTTCTTCTCCCCCCCCCCACCTTCTGTGAATCTCCACGCATCTAGCACCATGTTTTACATATAGTAGACATACACTGAATTTTGACTGAAAAAAAAAAAATACAGTCCAACAAGCTGACCTTCTATATCACTCTGACCATCACAGGAATAAGATAGAACAGATGGGAAAAGAAGAACACAGTAAGATCTGTCAATGGTCAATAAACAGATTATGTAATGTTTGTTACAAAATATAACATTTTGATGGACGAGGTCACTTTGGGTCGGACTTAAAAAATTTTCAGTATGCAGAGGGAGGCCTAGGATTTAAGGTAAGAGGAATTATAAGGGAAGTTTTCCAAGCCTAAAAGTATTGGGGGGACAGTGAACAGATCAGTTTTCTGAAATGGAGGGTTTATGAAAGGCAGCAGTGGGAAATACGGAGATACGGGAAAGACATAGGAAGACTGGCATGTGCCTTCCAAACTCATTTTGTGTCTTGGCACATGTGAATACTAACAACATTTGTATGGAACACTGGGTGCAGTGGACTGAATGTTTGTGTCCCCCTGCAAATTCAAATACTGAGATCCTACCCCTTTATGTCGTAGTATTAGGTGGGGCCTTTGGGGATTCGCGCCTTTGTAAAAGGAATCCCAGAGAGCTCTCTTGCCCTCTTTCTGCCATGTTAGGATACAGTGAGATTATGGCAACCTGAAAGGGGCCCCTCACTAGAACCTGACCCTGAGGGTACACTGATCTTGGACTTCTAGACTTCAGAATAGTGAGAAATACTTTTGGGTTATTTATAAGCCACCCAGTCTATAGTTCTTTGCTACATCAGCTCCAACAGACTGACACGGAGATCACGTGAAAAGGCTCCTCAAAGCATGAGACAGTGTCTGCCTCCCCAAATGCTTTTAGGGCACACTGTTTGGGAAACTCAGTTTTGGTTATTGTTCCTGGGTGGGGCAGCTATCTGACGCAGACCTGTGGGTATCTCTTGGCTTCAAAAAGCACTAGAATCCGTCTTTTCATATTTTTTAGTTCAGCCTCAGAGGGCTTATACAATGGGAGCAAAAATGCAAAACGTTGTTTTAGTCTAACAGGTTACTTTTATACCTTGCTTTGTTGTCTGGGCACAAATACCAAACTTCATGAAGCTTTTTGGTCCGTATCTGGTAAGATGAAAGAGAAGTATTCGACTATTGTAGAAGCACTAGCAGTCGTGAGACCTAGGTGTATATCTGCTTATTCTCTGGGCCTAATACATGCTAATTCCTCTCTCTCTCTCTCTCTCTCTCTCTCTCTCTCTCGGCTCTCTAATCTACCGAAGGGAAAGCAACCACCCTAATTATCTCAGAGGAAGTTGTTGTAAATCTTCACATTTCAACAGAACGTAAACTTATCTAACTACACTACGCAAGACATCGTGTTGTATGTTCTAGAGGACATGCAATTCTAGGTGCCACTCAACCAACACGACACCCAGAGGAAGAAGGGGCATGCCAGCTTGTGTGTTTCTTTTTCAGAGAGAGGAGAACGTTCCCAGAAGCCTCCCGGGCTCTCTCTTATCTCTGGTCGGAATTATGGCAAGTGCCCACCTGTCCCTCAGCCAGTCACTAGGAAAGGGGAGAGAATTACACGAGTGGTTTAAACTAATCAGGATTTTCTCTGCTGAGTTCCTGGATGCAAGAGAGCTGTGAGTACCAGAACAAAAATGTCAGGGCTCTGACAGTAAAGACAAAGGGGTGATGGCGAGGACAGCAGGAGAGTTTGTCAGAACCTTGACAAATTAGTGCGGTAGGGTATTATCATGCCGCGTAGGTAGAGGAGCCACTCCAGGTTTAGAAAAAAGAAGCTGGAAATCATCACGGTCAACATCTCCCCTATAGGCAGAGCCACATGCCTGTGGGACAGTCCACACATTTTCCATTCTTATTATCAGAAATTGGCCATTGAGGGCGCTTTTTTGCTGATACAGCTTAGGAAGGACTTCACAGATTTCTAGAAAAGACTTTTTTTTAAGTTAATTTTTAACAATCCCAATTCCTTTGCATGCTGCTAAGCATGAACCTTTGTGATCTATCCCGCGTGGTCTAACCTTAACGGATGTGTTATCTTCCAAACCACCTCCCCATTTGAATTAAACTGCTTTCTGCTCTCACCTTTGCTGTGCTGTCCCACACCTCTGTGCCTCCCCATGCAGCTCCCTCCGCTCCATGTCCTCCGTTAGCCCTTCCTCCTCCTCCTTCCTCCCTCCCTTGTCCCCTCAGCCGTGTGACCAATTCTTCTTCTTTAATACTCCATTTGCCTAAGGGAGGGCTTTCCGGTTGAGGAGAGCACAGGACGAGGGAAGCTTTCCTCTCCATCAGTAAGCACCCCAAGAATAACAGTACTGTCACTACCAACAAGAACAAGCCCTCCCACAGCACTTTCTACATGACTGCCATTGTCCCGAGCACTTCAGGTTTTCTTTAACGTTCAATCCTTTGGGGGAGAGAGAGAGAGAGAGAGAGAGAGAGAGAGAGAATCCGAAGCAGGCTCCAGGTTCCAAGCTGTCAGCACAGAGCCCGACAGGTGAATTGAACCCAAGGACTGCGAGCTCATGACGTGACCTGAAGTCGGACGCTTAACAGACTGAGCCACCCAGGTGCTCCCCAAGCACTTTAATACACAAATTCATTTAATCCTCACAACATCTCAAGGAGGGGCGTTACTGTTACTCCCATTCACAGATTATGAAAATAATGCGCAGAGAACGTAAGTGCCCTGCCCCAGGTCCCACGGCCGGGCAGTGGCAGCCGCCGCAGTACCTTCCCAGGGGGGGACGGCTGTTTCACTAGGCCGTCTCCTCTACCAGGCTGTGAGCTCTCGGGGACAGTGACTGCTCTACTCATCACCAGGTCCCCCAGGGCCCAACACAGTGCCTGGCACGTACAAGCAAGGGCCTTAATAGATATTTGTAGAATGGATGGTTTGTATGGAATAGTTCTTTTTTCAAAACCAGTGGATTCCCTTGCACTTACAGGAAACAACAGGAATATTGTGTGATCCTCTGAAAGCCTTCCAGGCCAACCCAGGCCCAGGCGTCCCCTCCCTCTCATCTAGCCACCTAGCCCAAAGCCCTGCAAATGACCCCCTCTGGAAACCTCGGAACAGAACATTTGGGGGGAAAATGGTGTCCAGAGTGTGGAAGTGGGGAAGAAACCCAGTGAAACATTACAAGAAACTATAATGCTTTAGAAACATCCCCTTTGTAGCCTCTCTGCCTGTCCAAACGACCAGTTCTCTCTGTTGTTCTCCTAATACAAGGAGCTTGAAATAGACCCCAAACCGCCTGTACCACACATCCTTGGGAACAAAAAATCCTCCCATATAATCGATGCCCAGACCCATCCCTGGGACCCTACCTTCAGAATTACTTGCAGACTGTCTAGAACTTTTATCTAACTGCCTACACACCTGTTACCTAATCACACGCCCGTCTCTTTCTACCTCTTACACACATACCAGGATCCTGACAGAGACAAAACTGCAATAGGGAGTGAAGCTTCCAAACCAAGGATGGTTCCTTCCTTCATGGGATTTTTCTTTTTCAGGGGCATAGCAGAGACTTAGTGGGCTTGAGTGGAGCCCGCTCTCAGAGCGCAGGGCCTGTGGCCTGGAGGCACGTTGTACTGGAGGGGGCCTCTGCGGCCTTTGTTCCTTCTAAAGCTCTGAGTCCTCGGCTTGGGGTCTAACGGAGGCCCATCCCTTTGGAAGGCAGCCCGGAGGAGGCCCTGCCTCCCCAGGTTCAGGCAAAGGGCGCCGGAGTGCCGGCTGCGATGGGGGGGCGGGCGGGGCCCTGACCCCGGAGCCCAGCCCCCTTCTGGCCGGGCCGCGGCCAGGCCGCTGCCCTAAAGTTTCCCATTCTGTGCGGCCGTTTAATCCCAGGATAATTTTCCACGGATCTGGATAAAGCCTTGATGGGTAGGGCGTGAGTTACCCCCCCCCACCCCCCTACTGCCCGTCGCAGGGCTTCTTCCTCTCTTTTCAAGTGGGTGCTGGGCACGCCTCCTCTTCCCCTTCCTTCCTTTTCTTTTAAACTAGTATTTACCGACCTGACGAGAGGGCTTCTGCATGGCTGATTGCACTCTCCTGAGGACGTGCTGGCTGCACGCCGTGACTAGTTTGTTGAATATTCCCCCAGCCGGGTTCTTGACGGTCACTTTCCTGTCTGCGTGTTATATATCGATATAGGTCAAAAGTAGTATTTACCTAAAGGTATTTTTACTTGAAGAATGTCTAAAATTGGAGCCACTTCTCATGTTTTCTTGTTACCTGGATTTCTCCTTTTTTCTCCTCTCTCTTGTCAGACTACCGCGTCTCCATGTGACCCTGGGTGTTCCGGGTGGAGGCCAGCGCTGGCCCATCCCGTCTGCCTCTCACGGGGCGGGCGTTCCTCCTGCATTTATTATTAAATATCATCTGTGTGCTGGCGGTGGGAGTCCCTGCCTCAAGCGGCTTGCACCTCCTAGCAGGGCAGGGATGTGCACCTATTGTCATCACACAGTGGGGGACATGAATGAACCCCCAGGGCTGCCCAGAGGAAGGGTTGCTGTCTAGCTCACCGGAACCTTCCAGGAGGAAGGGCTCAGTAAGGGCGGCAGAGAGAACAGGTAGCATTGGGCAGGTGGAGGCGAGGGAGGAGAACACTGTGGCCGAGGGCACAGTATGGGCGGTCAGAGTTCAGAAGGCCGAAATCTCCCGAGGTCGCGTGGAATGCAAGAAGCAGCCAAGCCAGGATGGGCTAGGGCCGTGGTGACCCTGGAGCGCCCCTTCCCTAGCCCCGCAAGCAGCGTTCTGTAGAAGCTGCTACCCAAGTAGGAAGGGCAAATCTGAAGAGTGTGGGGGTAGGAGTAGGGAGCGAGGTTGGGATACATCTCTAGGGCCCCCTGGACTTGCTTTTTTAAATTAACAGCTTTACCGAGGTTTACTTTACGTACTGTTCCCTTTCATTTTAACCTTTCACGTGGGTCGGAAGCAAAAGCAGCAGCCTTAATGTATTCGTTAGGGTATGCTGACCTTGCTGACCGCATAACAAAGTCTCAGCGGGTTCATTGCTTTCTCTCATCATAGTTCCAAACTGGTTGGGCGGAGAGGGAGCTGTCCTAAGCATTCGTTCAGGGACCGGCTCCCTGCCACTAGTGATTCTGCCCTCCCTTTGGGCCCTGAGGCCTCCACTGAGTCTGAGAACTGCTCACGTTTCTTGTGCCCTAACTTCATTGGTCAGAACTCTGTCGCTTGACCCACATCACGGCCACGAGTGGTGGGGAGAATGCAGTCTGTCTGTGCGCACCAGTGAAAACGAAACGCAGCAGGCAGGTTTGCCGCAGCATGGGACAGATGATAGGGCGTTGATGGGCATGATACAATTTTAGTATCAAATATCTAAGTTCATGTGTTATGAATTGTTTCTGTCGTGAGACACTTAGAATATGACCCGTCAGCGTTAGGCAGCCATTGATGATGGGATTATATCTCCTATGTTGAGTGGTCAGTGATAAGTAAAGGCCTTTACAAAACCAGAAACTGACAGTCTTCCCAGTGGCCTGCTCCAGACCCTCTAGAATAATGCAGTTCTTCCTGCACTTGCTGGGAATTCACTTCTAATCAAGTGGTGCAGTGATCCAGAGAATGTGCGTCAGAGAATGGAGATAGACTGGTAAGTAGCTGAGGAATTACATTAGCTGATCTTGTCATCATCAAGGCCAACAAAAACATTTTTATAACTTCACACTTCTAGAGTATTCTGTCAATTATTATGCTACCCCATCAGTATTAAAGTTTCTCTATCATGATCCAAGTTTATTTTTTATAAACTTTAAAAATAAAACCATTTTTAGTAAAACGTTTATATGCGTCATCAGCAGGTAGGGGATTGATGGAAGGTCTGGGTCATGTAGTCATTTGGAGACCAGGATGACAGAGGCTCTGGCACCTTCAACGTGTCACTTTCTAGATTGCCACAGGCCTCCACATCCAGCCAAAAGATAAGAGTGGCGTATGGCATAGGAGACTTATGGGCTGGGCCTGAAAGTGTAAAGAGCCACTTCCACCTGCATTTCATCAGCCAGAACTCAGTCATCTATTGCAAGGGTCTGAGAACAGTAGCCTCCATGGCCTCTGCTGCAGCTCAGCAAGGACTCTACCCCGCCATAATGATGGGAAAGCCCATTCGTCTTTAGTGAACAGCTAGTCGTGTCTGCCACAGCAGGGCTACCAACTACTTTTTAAAAACTCATATACGTACCCTGGCTCTACCCAAATGTGATACACTGGGGATGTAAAAGAGTTAAATATTCTGTTGCTGTTGGATTGATAATATACGTTTGTTGGATTGATAATGAGTCCCAAACAAGGGATAGATAGTGTGGGTTGTTATGTGATGCCAACATCCAGAGGAGGTAAGCAGCAAAGCAGAAATGATAGTCAGTAGGGCTGTGACAAATTCTCCAGTTCTCCTAGAAGGCAAGTGGTAAGACAGTATTCTCCCACCCCCTTTGAAGTTACCATGATCACTGATTTGCTTTGACCAATGAATGTGAGCACAAGTATGCCACAAATCATTGTGTTTCCTTCTCTCTGCTGTGGAGAACTTGGAAGCATATGTACGCATGTTGAGATGCAACCTTGTCAACCCGGCCCCTGAAAGGCTGGGATCAGCCATGCTCCCCAGTTTACTCATGTTGAGTGTTTATATGGGCCAGAAATGTACTGTTGGGGGGTGGTGCCTGGGTGGCTCAGTCAGTTAAGCATCCGCCGGTTGATCTCGGCTCAGGTCATGATCTCAGGGTTTGTGAGTTCAAGCCCCACATTGGACTCCATGTTGACAGTGTGGAGCCTGCTTGAGATTCTCTCTCTCCCTCTCTTTCTGCCCCTCCCTCACGCACTCATGTGCTTTTTCTCTCTCAAAATAAATAAACTTAAAAAAAAAAAAAGGAAAGAAATGTACTGTGGGTCGGTCAAGCTACTGCAACCTTGCAGTTGCTTGTAACCAAAATCCAACCAACCGTGTTCTGACTGCTACACTGGGTGATGGTTCCCCCCTGAAAAAACAAGCTGACATAATATTCTGGATCAGATTTTAAAAGGTTAAATTTCATTCTAGGGAATTTGAAATGTAAAGTTGCTTTGGGTGCAAGATTTTGTTGATATCAACTTCAAGTGGTATAAACCAATCCTATGTAGTCATTAAATTATAATATTCAACTTAAATATACTTCAAAAGCGATGCTATAAACTTCCTTCTTATAAAAATACCACAGAAACAGCATTTTATCTGTTTATGAAGTACACAGTTACCGAAAAAATAACATCTAATCTCTTTTCCAAGCAGTCTTTAAATGAGATATAATTTTCAGAGTTTTAGATGTAGATTTTATTAAGTAAACGATATGTAAGTTTTCGGTCTTTCTTTATACAGCTGTTCCTCTTTCCCCTCAGGATTTTGTGTGGCTTTTCTTAGAACTCTCTCCTTACTGGTATTGAAATAACAGGAATTAATATCAGAGGATCTTTTTCTCCTTTTAGTTCCTAGTTCTGCTTTAAAAATTCTATGATTACCATGCGTAAAGTAAAGTGTCAGTGGATTTACCACCAGTGCCAACATTTACTTGGAAACCTTCTATCCTCTGCCCCAGTTGCCTCGTGATGAGTAAAGATGATGACAGCGCTAAATCGTATACCTCTGTGTGAGGCAATAGGTTGCGAGTCCCCTATCTTACAGTGTGAATGGGAAGCTCAAGGCTTGGTAGGCAACAGGACAGGCTATACTAGTGTTTCCCAAAAGCTAGGCTTTGCTCTGGCTACCTCAGAACCCTCTGGGAAACCTGTTAAAAACATAGGCTCCTGGTTTTCCTCCATTCTCCCTGAATCAAAACATCCAGAGAAAGGACCTGGGAATCTGAATTTTTCACACTCTCTCCAGTTGGGTCTGCTGCATAGCTGTGTCCACCTCAGCCAAGGCCATAGGGGACCCTCCAGAGGGCAGAACACAGGGCAGTGTGCCCTCCCATCCTTTCTTGGCCATGAGGAAATGTACACTTGCCTCTGTGCCCCTAAACCACCTTGGGATGTGAGCTGGTGAGATCCTTTGAGGGGAAGAAACTTCTGATAGAAAGTTTGAACTAAATGTTTACCCAAGAGACTTTTTAAAATTGACAAGATGGGGAACTTTTAATTGGAAAGTTTAATTCTTCCCTGTTGCTGAGAGTAGAGGCTCAAGAACAAGAGAAGTGAGTTATAGCAAGTAGATACATTTTTGTCTTTGCACAACAGAATCATGGTATGGACAATATACTCCTCTACCCTTTAAGCAATCCAATGCAAAAACTGACATTAAAATGATTTTTTTAAGCAAAATTTATTAAAATACTATCCCCTGGAATATATTTTGGGAAATGTTGACCCACATTATTTTGCTTCTTCTCTGTGTGCATGTGAATACATATGTCCTTACACAATCTTACAAAGCATTGTCATGCACATTTGGGTGGATTTCCCAAATGGCAGACTCAAAGCATTATTACATGGCTGCTATGGGGAGTATGATACCATGATGGTTTGAACAAAAGCCTCCAGACTGAGGCCAGGATTTGGGTTCCAGAAGTTTATTTGGGAAATGATCCTGGGAAGTATAGTGGTAGAAATAGATGGAAGGACAGTGAGTGGGGAAAAGTCAGTAAAGGCTGTTTTGGGGCACATGGATGGTGCAGTCGGTTAAGTGCCTGACTCTTGGTTTTGGCTCAGGTCGTGATCTCATGGATCTTGTGGTTCTGGAGATTGAGCCCTGCGTTGGGCTCATGCTGATGGCTCAGAGCCTGTTTGGGGTTCCCTCTCTTCTTTCTTTCTACCCCTCCCTCTACTCTCTCCCTCTCTCTCTCGTCTCTCTCTCTCCCCTTCCCTTCTTCCTCCTTCTCAAAAATAAATAAATAAATAAATAAACTTTAAAAAATGGCTTTTTTGATGACAATCACTCGGGATGCTCCCCCTACCAAAAAATATGAAACATGCCCCAGAAACATCCTACTTATAGGGGAGGAAATTGATTATTTATCCCTCATTGTTTGGGGGTTGCTCCTGGCCACATAAATCCTTTGGCACTTCTGGCCTGTGTTATGCTTGGGCTGAGCATGCCTGTTGGCAGAGAAACACAGGTGCTTGAGGCTGAAAGATGTTGGTATTGTGAGAACCCTTTCCTGAAGGCTTTGGGGGTGGGCCAAGGGGAGACCAATGGATGACTGACGGCATCTGCTGTAACTAGGTTGACTTCCATCTCTTAAGGTCATTGTTTCTGCTCCTGTTGGCAAACATTTACCTCTTGTTCTGTGGTTGTACCACCAGCTAGAACCTCAACTATATGATCAGCCACTTACAGCATGTGATATACTTTTTTTTTTTTTTTGCTAATAGAGGATTTAAAAATTTTTAGTTATTTTTAAAAATTGAAGTATAAATAACAAGCAATGTTATATTAATTTCAGGTGTACAATATAATGATTCAGTAATTCTATATATTACTCAGTGGTCAGCATAAGTATAATTTTAATCTCCCTTATCTATTTCACCCATCCCCCCACCCACCTCTACTCTGGCAACCACCCGTTTGTTCTCTGTATTTAAGTGTCTCTTTTTTAGTCTCCTTCTTGTTTCTTGTTTCTTTTTTTTTTTCTTTGCTTCTTAAATTGCACATATGAGTGAAATCATATTGTATTTGTCTTTGTCTGACTTATTTCCCTTAGCATTATACCCTCTAGATCTATCCGTGTTGTTGCAAATGGCAAGATCTCATCCTTTTTTATGGCTGAGTAATATGCCAATATACCACATGTTCTTTATCCACTTATCTATTGATGGACATTAAAGTTGTTTCCATATCTTGTATATCGTAAATAATACTGCAATGAACATAGAAGTGCATACATCTTTTTGAATTAATGTTTTCATTTTCTTTGTTTAAGGGCTAGCCTTACAAACTAAGTTTGGAGATATCTGTCCACCTTGCTTTGCTGGAAACAAATGATATTCAGTATAATCTAACCTTATGGGACTGAGAATAGGATGAAGTATAGACAGGGAATTTGATGAACAGTCCTTGTAAACAGGACCTATCACTAGTGACTTGTGAACTCAGTCAAGCCTAGTCCGCCACACTCACATAACCTGACCCACCATCATGGTAATGAGACTGAAATTAACTGAAAAATAGTTGACTCATTTTAACAAACATTTAGTGAGTCCTATTTGTGTCTTATAATAAAGACATACTGAGTGAAGTGATTTTAGCAGTAAAATGATAGAGGGGTGCCTGGATAGCTCAGTTGGTTGAGCATCTAATTTCAGCTCAGGTCATGACCTCATAGGTAATGAGTTTGAGCCTTGCATCAGACTCTCTGCTGTTAATGCGGAGCCCGCTTTGGATCCTCTGTCCCCCTCTCTCTCTGTACCTCCCCTGCTCACACACACATACACATACATACACACACACAAACTTACACACATACACACTCTCTCAAAAATAAATAAGCTTAAAAAAAGAAGTAAAATCATAGAATTTTAGAGCTCCTGGGAATTATGCTATATATATTTTGAATCTCCTTAGTATAGTGGTTAGGAATGCGGGCTGAGGAACCAGGCTGCTTGGGTCCAAATCCTGGTTCCATTGCTTGTAAGTTGGCCCTGGGCAACTTACTTTATATTTCTATGTCTTAGTTTGTTCTACACAATCGTACCTACCTCATAAAATTTTAAGGATTAAGTGAATGAAAGTATGTAAAGCCCATAGTACTTGGATCATGGTCAGCAGTAGGTAAATTTTAGCTATTAATTAACTTTATCTTGTTTTACAGAGATGCCTGGAGACCTTTCCAAGATAATGCCCTTAACTTGGGACAGACCCGAGACTGGAACTCATCATGTCTCCTAATTTCTAGAGCAATTTGGTTTTGGTACAAGTTGGTGAATGATGGCAAACAATCTTTAAAGGTGAGATCTTTATTAGCATTTAAGAGACAGGATGACAAGGGACACAGGGGTGCTGATGCATAGGCGCACATGTTCCCCAATGTTCACAGCAGCACTCTCCACAACAGCCAAAACATGGAAAGAGCCTAAGTGTCCATCAACTGACAAACAGATCAAGAAGATGTGGTTTATCTATACCATGGAATACTACATGGCAATGAGAAAGAATGAAATCTGGCCATGTGTAGCAACATGGATGGACCTTGAGGGTGTTATGCTGAGCGAAATAAATCAGGCAGAGAAAGACAGATACCATATGTTTGCACGTATAGGAGGATTAGGAGGAACTTAACAGAGGACCGCGGGGGAGAAGAAGGGGGGAAATAGTGAGGGAGAGGGAGGGAGGCAAACCATGAGAGACTCTTGAATGCTGAGAACAAACTGAGGGCCGATGGGGGTGAGGAAGAGGGGAAGGTGGGTGTTGGGCATGGAGGAAGGCACTTGTGGGGATGAGCACTGGGTGTTATATGGAAACCAACTTGACAATAAACAATTAAAAGAAAAGAGACAGGGTGACTAATGTTTTGAGAACAATTAGAAAATCATAAATATGGCATTATATAGCACATTCTATCTATGAACATTAAATGTAGATGGAATTAAAACTAATGCACAGAGATCATCATGGCATCAAATTATTATAGAAGCTTCCTGAAAGAGAAGAGCCTTGTGCCTAGTGCCTTTGGGTAACACTGGATATGGCTGGGAATATAAAATGGAAAGGCTTTCTTTGTGGGGAAAGGACATGATGGTGACCAGGAGTGGGTAAAACAGGGGCTCCCAAGAAGATGGGCTGGATTGTAGGGCACTGAGGTCACATACTGGTGGCTTGCAAGCATAGTCTGGGTTCAGGTCTTTTGTTTGGCCTAAAGAGTTTCACCAAAATTTGAGTTGGCTACTTTATCTGTCAGGGTTCTTCAGAGAAACAGAACCGTGTGTGTGTGTGTGTGTGTGTGTGTGTGTGTGTGTGTGTGTTACATCTGAAATCTGTGGGGTAGGCTGACTGACTGGAAATTCAGATAAAATTTCCATATTAAATTTTTGAGACGGAATTCCTTACTCTTTCTTCTCTAGGAAATCTCTGTTTTCTGCTCTTAAGGTCTTCACCTGTTTGAATAAGTCCCTTTCATATTATCAAGGGTATTCTCCTTTGCTTTAAGTCAACAGGTTGTGGATGTTAACCACATCAACAAAATACTTTCTCAGCAACACCTAGACTAGTGTTTGACTGAACAACAGGGCACCATAGTCTAGCAAGCTGACACATAAACTAACCATCATAGCTACCAACATTAAAAAGAAACTCTAGATTTTATTTTTTTAGTGTTTATTTATTTTTGAGGGAAGGGTAGTGAGAGATAGAGAGAGAAAGAGACACAGAATCTGAAGAAGTCTGCAGGCACAGAGCCCAACGTGGAGTTTAAAATCACAAACTGTGAGATCATGGCCTGAGCTGAAGTCAGATGCCCAACTGACTAAGCCACCCAGGTACCCCAAAAATCTCTATATTTTAAAAGGAAAGCCAGATTTCTAGATTCTATGCACAAATGGAAAGATCTGGCAACTCTGGATGTAAACCCTTTAGATGAGGGATGGATTTTTGGATTGCCTCAATTTCCACCTTGTCCATGGCCATTTGGGCTTGTATCCCAAACCTTTAGGGGGAACAGAGAAACTTGAATTTATAAAGGAAGGCAAGACCATTTGATGGAACACATTGAAATATAAGTTCAGGAGAGAATCCTAGCATTAAGGGAGAAACTTAGAGATCTCCCAGGTCAATGATTTATCTGTGGAGGCTGCTAGGCAGGGTTTCTGGGCATGCTAGAAGTGGTAGAATCTGGTTCTTGTGGATGCTTTCATCTGATGGCTCTACTTTAATGTGGTTTATGATTTGGGCTGCTTAAAATTTTGAAGACCACTCTTCGAGACCAACATGGCAATTTCATAATTGAAGAAGTTGAAGCCCAGATTCTTAGTTTGGTTTTTATATGAGACACAATAGAGAGTGTTTGAAACACACCGTTCAGGAAACAATCAGTAGTTCATGAGAGCAAACTTTTATGGCATCTTTTATTATGCTGCATATGATAATATCCTGATGACTATGGATAAAATTCTGAATATCTATTGATAACTCATTATTGATCTTTAATTTTCAAATCTTTCTAACTCCTTCTTGAGTCTACTTATATTTTTTACTTTCCCACCTCTCAAGATAATTATCTTCATGCCTCTTATTAGAAGTATATCAAAGAGTCCATTATGTGGCTGATTCACCTGCTTTACATCTTCAACGTAAGATCGACTTTTCTTTTATTTATTTATTTATTTATTTATTTTTATGTTTTTTATTTATTTTTGAGTGTCAGAGAAAGCGCAAGCAGGGGAGGATCAGAGAGAGGGAGACACAGAATCTGAAGCAGGCTCCAGGCTCTGAGCTAGCTGTCAGCACAGAGCCTGATGCGGGCCTCAAACCCACAAACCCACAAACCCACGAACCGTGAGATCATGACCTGAGCAGAAGTCGGATGCTTAACCAACTGAGCCACACAGGCGCCCCTAAGATTGACTTTTCAATACAATAATAGAAGTGTTCAGAAATTAATAAGCTGGATGTCACAAAGATGCAGGGGAAGAATGGAAACAAATTGTGTCTCCAATTATATATAACTGATCAAAAGAACACAACATTGATGTATAATTATTTGCACATATACAAAGGCATAAAAGTTTTTATGTCAAAAGTTAAAAGTTCATCTCAAAATGATTTAAAACAATTCTTCGAGCTCTCTTAAACTTGGGCAGTCATGGAATCATATGAAAGAGTTACTGGCGAGAAATAACCGAACTAGTGAGGGATTGAGGTCAGGAGATCCATGGAAAAGGCGTTTCACTCCCTTTGTTGAAAGACTCGTGACCTTGACCACATAGTAGCTCTGACATAAAGCAGAGTGAGTAATAGTTGCAGACAAGCTGGAGATAAGTAAGAAAGGAGTGGGCAGAGGCGGAGGAATCCGTAAGATGTGAAGCCTGTGCACCAGGGAAATAATGTTACTTTTGACAGAAATGGGAAAGCTAGAAAAGATTCCATTTGAAAGGCTAACATCTTGAACATCACTTATGTATTTGGGGCTCAAGTTTATTTTAAACTTGGATTGGCTGACTTCACCCTTCCTTCTATTCCTTTAAACAAATGTATGTTTTACTTTGGCTCAAGGATTTGCCAGGATAAACCTCGTATCTGAATAGGAATGACTGAGAGTTTGGTGATATTATAAATGTATAATTTACACTTGAAATTCGAAAAGACTGGTTTTTAAAAGTTTAGAGTCTTAAAGAGTACAGAAAAAATGTAAGTTTTAAATACGTAGCAAAATAAACATATGTAGTATTTAATGAATTAAATTCTTATTAAAGAAAATGTGTGCAGTAATGAACTTTTAACCTCTGTAGTAAATTCTATGGTAGAAGCAGCTTTAACTGGCTTCATACAATTGCCTTTTTAATATATGTAAATTAGCACCTAGCATCATGCTCTAAAGTTATTTGATTTTAATAGACTTTTCCCTCTGAGTTAGTGTTTTCTTAATTGAACTAGTCTAGTCCCCAGTCTGGATTAAATACTGCCCAATCACATCCTTAGATGAGAGGATATTCTCAGATATTGTACCTCAAAATGCTTTGTGTATATCATGTCAGAATATCGTCTTTGACCTTAATATAAAAAGATGATCTAAACTGGCCACTGACTTAACTAGGCAGCATCCTTACCAATACATTGTAGGTAATATTTTGTATATAACTACGTATGCTGATATACATATCAACATATAACAATGACATTCCCAGGAAGTATAAACTCTAAGTCCAGCTATAACACAGTAGGCGGGCAGAGAAGCAGAGGAGACAAGGGTGAGTACAGGAGACTGGACTTTAGGAGACAACTGTGGTTTATGGGCGGAAGAAGGAAATCCAGCCATTTAAAAAAATAAGAAGAAATACACAGAGAAGCAGGAGAACCTGATATCAGAGAAACCAAAGGAAAAGAGCCTGCCAAGAGGGACTGAAGGTGACTGATGACCAACCAGGTAAGAAACAGCAGATGAAGACGCCGGACAGATCAATGGATTCCATCAGGTAGTGTTTGGTCATGACTTGGAGAGAATAGTTTCAGCAGGTGAAGAGAATAGATATCGTATTGAGGCGAGAGTGGATATTGAGAGAACAAAAGAGAGGGAATAAAAACAGGCTGAGATTTGGAGAAAAATTTACCACCTTTAGCCAAGAGTTCCGTGCTGGCTCCCTTGAAATGCCTTGTTTACTTCAATTAATGACTGCAGCAAATCTATTCATGGCTGTGATTCATACTCAAAACAATGACTCCATAGTGTTTTCGTTAATTACCCAAGACAGGAGTTCATTAATCAGTGAGTGGACACCCTAATGATTAGCCCACGTAGTTGGAGTTGTGGTATTGTTAACATCATTTGGCTTAACATTCCCTTTACCATGGATTTGCCTGGTCACAGAGACAACATAGGTTGTCAGCTGCAGAATTAGAATTTTCTTCTTTTTTTTTTTTTTTTAAATATTTTATTTATTTCTAGCAGAGAGAGAGAGACAGTGTGAGCAGGGGAGGGTCAGAGAGAGAGGGAGTCACAGACTGAAACAGGCTCCAGGCTCTGAGCTGGCAGTCAGCACAGAGCCCGACGCGGGGCTCGAACCCACGAACCGCGAGATCATGACCTAAGCGAAAGTCGGACACTTAACCGACTAAGCCACCCAGGCGCCCCGAATTTTCTTCTTTAGATCTATGAATCTTATTTCTCTGAGGCTGGCAGAAAAAAACTTTAGCAAGGAAATAAGTCATGGGAGTTACAGCAAGTTCATGAAGAGATAAGCAGTGCCCAACAGTGAGAGTCACCATGGAACGTTTTAGATCTCCTTGGGAGTCCCTCACCAATCCTTATGTTACAAACCTTCTGCTGCATCTGAGTTTTTTGGCCATTGGTAACTGGTATTAATTGCTAGTGAAAAAAATAAAGCAAGGTAAGGGAACATAGAGTAATAGAAAGGATTTGCCATTTTAGATACACTGATTAGGGAAGACATCTTTGATAAGGTCACAAACGGAGAGACGGCTGAGTAAGTGAGGGAATGATGCCCATGAATGTCTGAACACAGCCGTTTCCTCATTCTTACTGGCTCTGCCTGGATCCAGTCTTCACCACTGTTTTCCTGAGAATTTTCGGGCTCCATGCTTCGGACTTCATATTTCTTGGTCTCAAATGAGTTCTTGTTCCTTTCTGGCCCTGGAGCATCCACCATAGGGCCCATTGCACTGAATTCTTTATAGTTCTCTGAACATACCACCCTTTCATTTCCTTAGACATGTTGTATATATGTCGCTACTTTTGCCTGGAATGTCCCTTCCCCAACACCACTCATGGATGAACCCTTAGTTAACTGCCCTAAATCTGTTCTCAGACAAGGCAAATAGGGATAAATCACTGAATAAAATTCAGCCCAAATTTTACCTTTTTTACATCTTTGAAATTCCTATAAAAATTTAATTTTCCCTTGCTCAACACTGCCAATGCTTTTTTAACTAGAATCTTCTGCAGGGGTTAGCAATCTTTTTCTCAAAGGGACCAGAAAGTAAATATTTTAGACTTTATGGGCCATATGGCCTCTGTCGTAACTACTCAGCTCTGCCGTTATAGCATGAAAGCCGCCAGAGACTGTATGTAAATGAATAAGCATGGTTATGTTCCAATAAAATTGATTTACAAAACAGGAGGCAAGTCGCAGTTTGCTGATTCCTGATCTATCACATCTTGTATTAGAATTATTAGTTTATTTTTCTGTTTCCACAATTAAGTTATGAGTTGTTGTTTTTCCAGAATAAAGGCCCAGTGACCATATATTATTCAGTTTTAGTCCTAGACTGTGGCAGATTGTTTTTCAAATGGTTGACCACCCCAACATCTCCCATTCCCCACAGTCTTGTGCAGCAATCAACCACTGCCCTTCTAGAGGCAGAGTCTAAGTCCACTCCCTTGAATCTGGGGTGGTTAGTCACCATAGAACATCGTGGAAGTGAGGCTGTGTGATTTCCGCGCTGAGGTCTGCGAAGGCCATGCTCTCTGGTTCTCTTGTAACACTCACTCTGGGGTTGCTCCCTCTGGGACACCGTTTTGTCAGACGCCCAAAACATCTATGAGCGGAGAGGCCACTTACAGATGCTCACGTCGACACCACCAACTGAGCCTATATTCACATCTTCCCAGTCCAGGTACCAGATAGGTGAGCCAAAAAGCCTTCCTATGATTCTAGCCCCAACTCCTCATCCTGTTCTCCCAAGTCCTTCAGCTGAGGCCCCAGGTACCGTGGAACAGAGTGGAGTTACTCCCAACTAGCCATGACCAAGTTGTAGATTTGTGAACAAAATGGTAATTAGTGTTATTTTACTCCATTAAGTTTCTCCCCCCGCCTGAGATATAATTTCCTGAACTGTAATTGACATATAATATTGTGTAGGTTTAAGTTGTACGGCGTGTTGATTTGGTACGCTTACGTGCTGCCAAATGATTACCACCAGAGCTGTTAGGTACCATACCCATCATGCCACATAATTACCGTTTCTTTTTTGTGGTGAGAGCACTTAAGATCTACTCCCTTGGCAACTTTCAAGTGTGTAAAATGGTATTATTAACTATAATCACCACACTGTACATTATATCCTTTTACATTTTGAGATAGTTTGTTACATAGTAAAACATACTGGAACATAGCCCATGCTATGAATTTTAGTTTTATTTTTAACATCATAGCAAGGACAAAAATAAAAACCCAAATGTCATACTGTCTCTGTGTGATTTTTACTTTGAAATATTTCAGTGTGTGATATATATGAGTGTAAGTTAATATTAATCTAAACCCTAGGCCTTAAACTAACATTTTGAGAGATTTTAATCAAGAATACACCTTTTAGGCAGGATTGCTTAAATAGTGCTTAGAGCCCTCTACCTGGGAATCCACACTCCAGGGAGGTTAGCACTAGTGTTTTAAATATAGGCATCCAAGTCTACACCAGAGGGCTTGTTCATTAGCATAAGAGATATTAGGAATAATTTCACTGGTGAAATTAATAGTTTAAAAAATATGTGGAAAGTTAGGTCTGATGGGCCCTTGGATAAATAAACCATCACAAGCACATACAACAACACTAACAACAACAACAACGCATATTTAGACTTAGGACCCGAGGTCTAGAAATCCATCTGGTCCCGCGTTTCCTGCTTAGTGAAGGACCATGTTGCCTAGAAGGTTTGCTGATTCTGCTCTCAGAACATCATTGCATCTGCCTCAGAGGGAACTCTTTTTACAAGGTTTTTGTTGAACTATATGGGCTGGGACAGAGAGCATGGACTTCTCTTAGGGTCACCAGGTTTTGTTCCTGATTACTCATAAATTCATATATATGGCAGCACTTGGTTTGAGATTTCTATTGTATCATCCACCTAGTAGTCAGTTTGTAAAGTGACAGCCTGACTTACTTCTTCTAATCTGGCAATTTCTTGATTGATACAATTAGCTTAGGTTGGGTTGCAACACAGCAATACAGGTATCCCTGTTTTAGAGAGGGGGTCAAATATTTTCCAGCTTACATTCGGTTTCAGTTTCTGGAAAAAGGAAATCCTTTTTGTCAGGCAATGTGTCACGTGGGGGCAATTGCTGTTGATGAGGTAATAGACACTATATTGCTGTGAGTTTATTAATCAGCATCATGCTAAATTGCCTCCGTGATTTCCCCTGGAAGGTGATGCCGGCACAACCTCACCCTGGGTTTAGGATTACGGATTGAGCAAGGAGGGTTGGTTAATGAACTATGACAAGCAGACACCTTGTGAGGTTCATGAATAGCATCACGTAACATGGAATAATCACTTAGCCCCTTTGAACACCATTTTGTTTCACTCTGCATGTCACTGAAAGACGAGTTTTGATTTGCAAACGCTAATGGCTGTGGAATGGGCATTAACGTTCCAGATGTACTATTTGTTTGAGCGCAGTGTTAAGTAAAGAGTATTGCACAGTGTGTTAATGGTGTGCAGCCGCTCTAATGGAGATGTATGCCTCCACTCCGCTGTACTTAATTACCAATCAGCCGGCCCATCTTGAAGGGGCCTCCCCCTGGCTGTGGAGAACAAAGAATGGCTGGGTTTGCCACTCCCGGCACAGCTGGTGGCGGCTGCTTCTTCTGATTCACAGCTGTGTCCTCAAAATCTGCTAGGATGTCTCACAGGCATCTCGAAACCAATGGCCCAGAGCTGAACACATCATCCGCCCAGCTGAAACGCCCTCTTTTCCTGTGCTCCCTGTTTTACTAGATGACACCACTCTCTGCCCAGATGCGCAAGTCAGCAACCTGGGGCTTCTCTTTGACTCTTCCTGCTTCTCATAAGCTGTATCCAGCCAACCTCAGGTTCTGTCTCCTGGACACACTGGGCAGCGTAGTCCAAGGTGTCCAGTGTGGCATTGCGGTGACCTAATGCTTCCTGGTCTTGCACGTGCCCTGCAGTAGGAGATTATTTTAGATAAAAACATATGTGGATTTTACTCCTGTATCTTTCCTTTCCCTTTTCCCCAATTAAGTATGATCAGTGATATCGACGGTGGATACCTACCACAAAGAATAGAAGAGCAGGCTCTAAAAACCATGAGTAACACACCGCGGGGTTGGGTTATGTCAGGAGCAGTGATGCCCGGGTCGAGTCCGCACGGTTAGCTAATCAAGACTTCCATGGGTCAGTGGGTACCATCCCGATGACATTGGTTCACGATAGCTGACATATCAGTGGGGGCCACTGTGAGAGTCCTGCCTGGCTAGCACTTCCAGGACTATAATGGTTATTGCAGAAACTTCTAGGTTTGTTGGTGGAAGTCTACCCTCCTTCCTTCTCTCGCATCTGGGGTTGCTCCTTCCGTGTCAGTCCTCTACCCCTCCTAGGAAGTTATCATAACTAACCTATCCTGGTTTCAGAATGCAGGCTGGGTGGGAGACTGGAGTTCCTGGTTAGTCATATTATGGCTGAATTATGATATTGGAGAGAACGTTATCATGGATTTTTGTTTTGTGCTCATTGTTTTAGGGAAAGGATATAGAAGACAAGGGAACAAAAATTCTTGATTTTGTTCCCATAACTCAATGAATAGATTGTGAAAAAGACAACTTGTCCAGGTCAGAATTAATAGCAGAAAAAACTTTACCCTAAGCTAAACATACAGCCTCCCATTTCTCCCCAGCCTCAGTGCTTCATGGGAAGAGAAAAGAGAGAGGTGGCCGCACAGAGGACAAGAGCCTACACTCAGCTTCCTGGAAGTGCCCAAGGAGGCAAGAGGACCCCCCGGTGAAACTGCCCATGGTATCCAGGCAGAGGGAGCAAAAGTGCCCCCTTGAAGGTTCCTGGGTCCACATCTTTGGGGAGCAGCCAATAAACTCAATTCCACTAGCTGTAAATGCCAGAAGACCTCAGATGTTTCCCCTCTCCCAGGGAGATTTTTATTTTCATGTTAAGGTAAGCAGTCTCTAATCCTTTTTTTTTTTTTTAATGTTTTTTATTTACTTATGAGAGAGAGAGACATCGTGAGCAAGGGAGGGGCAGAGAGAGAGGGAGACACAGAATCTGAAGCAGGCTGTAGGCTCTGAGCTGTCAGCACAGGGCCCGAAGCTGAGCTCAAACCCACGAACCGTGAGATCATGACCTGAGCTGAAGTTGGACGCTGAACCGACTGAGCCTCCCAGGCGCCCCGGCAGTCTCTAGTCTTGACATTTTAGGCCTGGCAAGGGAAACGGGGCTAAAATGGCCCTCCTGGGTCTTCAAAGACCACTCTATGTGTTCATAAGCCAGACCATCTATGTCAGCATGGGCAGGTAATCAGTCCCATAGCATGGGACTTTTTTCTTTTCTCTGCAGTGTGTTAGAAAAAAAAATTAGGAATTATTACTGTTCATTTCTCTGCTACTTATAGAGAATTGAGGATAATCTGATATTTAAAAAAATTTTAATGGCACCAGGGCTTCACATTTCCACTACCGTTTCAGAACAGACACAGTTTTTCTTTATATTCTTTAATACAGCTGAGGTAGAATTCGTTGTGACACGTGTGGCAGCCCTGCATGGAGCAAGTCTATTGGTGCCACTTTTCCAACAGCATTTGCTCACTTCGTGTCTCCGTATTGCATTTTGGTAATTCTCATTGTCTCAAACTTCTTCACTAGTATTATATTTGCTGTGGTGATCCATGATCGGTGATATGTGATGTTACTATTGGAATTGTTTTGGGGTGCCACGAACCGTGCCCACATGAGATGGAGATCTTAACTGATAAATGTATGTGTTCTGACTGCTCCGCTGACTGTTCTTCATTTCTCTCCCTCTCCTTAGGTCTGCCTACTCCCTGAAACACAACAATACTGAATTTAGGTCAGTCAATAACCCTACAATGGCCTCTAAGTGCTCAAGTGAAAGAAAGGGTCACACGTCTCTCACTTTAAATCAAAACCTAGAAATGATTAAGCTTAGCAAGGAAGCTAGAGGGCCAAGATAGACCAAAACCGGGTGTCTCACTCCAAACAGTTAGCCAACTTGTGAACGCAAAGGAAAAGCTCTTTGAAGGACATTAAAAGTACCACTCCAGTGAATACATGGATAATAAGAAAGAGAAACAGCCTTATCGCTGATGTGGAGAAAGTTTGAGTGGTCCAGATAGAAGACCACACCAGCCACAACATTTCCTTGAACCAAAGCCTAATCCAAGGCAATATTTTAATTTTCTTCAATTCTGTGAAGGCTGAGAGTAACAAGGAAGCTACAGAAGAAATATTTGAAGCTAGTCGAGGTGATTCAAGAGGTTTAAGTAAAAAAGCTATCTCCATAACATAAAAGTGCAGGGTGAAGCAGTAGGTGCTAATGTAGAAGCTACAGTAAGTTACGGAGAAGATCTAGCTGAGATATTAATGAAGGTGGCTACACTAAACAACAGATTTTCAGAGTGATGAAACAGGCTTCTATTGGAACATATCATCTAGGACTTTCATCATGAGACTTTTGTTTCCCCATCGTCTCTTTTTACTGCCCCCCCCCATATATTTCATCTGTTTTGTTTCTTATCCCACATATGATGAAATCATATGGGATTTGTCTTTGACTGACTTATTCTGCTTAGCTTAATACATTGTAGCTCCATCCATAACATTCACAGGTATTTGGAAGAAGCTGTTCCAAACCTCATGGATGAGTTTGAGGGGTTTGAGACTGTAGTGGAGGAAGAAACTGAAGACGGAGTGGAACAGCAGGGGAACTAGGATGAGAAGATGGAATGAGATGAGAATGAGGAGCCCAAAGACGGGGCTGCCTGGCCACAGTCTCATGATGGGACTTTAACGGATGACGAGCTGCTTCTGATGCCTGAGCAGAGAAAGTCGTTTCCTGAGATGGAACCTGCTCCTGGGGAAGATGCTGTGCAGATTGTTGAAATGACCACAAAGGAGTTAGATTATTACATAAACTTAGTGGATAAGGTAGCACCGGGGTTTGAGAGGACTGACTCCAATTTTGAAGGAAGTTCTACCGTGGGTAAAATTCTATCAAACAGCATCGCGTGCTACTGAGAAATCGTCCATGAAAGGAAGAGTTGATCGATGTGGCAACCTTATTTTAAGAAGTTGCCGGGGCGCTTGGGTGGCTCAGTCGGTTAAGCGTCCGACTTCGGCTCAGGTCATGATCTCACAGTTCGTGGGTTCGAGCCCCGCGTCGGGCTGTGTGCTGACAGCTCAGAGCCTGGAGCCTGCTTCAGAGTCTGTGTCTCCCTCTCTCTCTGCCCTCCCCTGCTCACACTGTCTCTCTCTCTCTCTCTCTCTCTCTCTCTCTCAGAAATAAATAAAACATTTAAAAAATTTAAGAAATTGCCACAGCCACCCCACCTTCAGCAACCGCTACCCTGATCAGTCTGCAGCCAACAACATGGAGGCCAGACCCTCAACCAGCAAAAACATTACAACTTGCTGAAAGCTCAGATGATGTATAGCATTTCTTAGCAATAAAGGATTCTTACATTACAGTATATACATTGGTTTTTATAGACATAATACTATTGCACACTTAATAGGCTACTGTAAAGCATCAACATAACTTTTATATGCACTAAGAAGCAAAAAAATTCATTTGACTCATTTTGTTATGATATTCCCTCTATTGTGGTAGTCTGAGGTATGCCCTTTTTTAAAGATTTATTTTTAAACAATCTCTACACCCGATGTGGGACTCGAACTCACAACCCCGAGATTAAGAGTAACATGCTGCACCAACTGAGCCAGCCAGGTGCCCTCCTCTCTTAATGTGAATGTACAGTAGTGAAGAACAGCAATTACTACTAGATTTCATGTCATTGGTTGATTTGTGCTAAAGCACCAGCAGTTATATCCATCTCTGCTCTTGCATCATCTGTGCAAATATTAGGATAATAATTAGAACAATATTTTAGTATTATAATGAAAATAAACTGGATGTTGTGGATCTCCAGAAAGGGTTTTGGAGCTCGGAGGAGGTCATGGGCACACTCTGAGAGCACCGTTTGATTGTACACATACAGGAAAAATAAAAGTGAATTAAATTGTCAAAAGCATTGTTAAAGGTTCTTTACAGTCAGAGTCTACTCTTTTGAAGCACTTTTTGACTTGTGGGCCAGAAGTTCACACAATGTCACATTCTGTGTCATACAAATTACTATCACATATAATTGTGATTTATCCGTCTCTTAAAGCAATATCTAGAGTCATGCAGCAATATTAAAAAATGGCATGTTTCATGAAGGTCACATCCAAACCTACATGTATATGACTTAAGCATAACCTGAACTGGTTAATATTACTAGATATATATTCCTAAGGGCCAATATACAACTGTTGCAAAACAGTGGTAACCTGTGTGTCCCCCAGAACCAAGCCCTCTGGGGTTAGAACATGACACCTTTGGGAAATGCTACTTGGTGAATACAAGAATCTACTGCATTCACTTTGAGAGAAACGATTTGAGAAATTAATTAATTTATATTTTCACCCAAGTGCTTCTCTATCTCAGGTGTCCCCCAAAGTCAAAACCATTTTTCCAAAGTCAGCAAGGTGCCTCCCAGAAACTTTCACTTTGTTCAGTTGTAATCAGCTTTCATTCTGAGATCATAGAGCAAAAGACAAGACCTGTTAAGAAATACTGCCCTGGAGTCTGAACGGTGTTAGCTGTGCGCCACGGATGTTTAGGAGTCCGGGTTATAACGTGTCAGTTCTGAACACTAGGCTCTGAGGGACAGAGGTGACCACGGGTTCTCTGCTACATTGTTTTTGAGCTTTTGTAACAAGTGGGGCCTTTAGAGTAGGGGACCCAGCGTTTCGGAAGGAAGACAGCCAAGTGTTAATTGGCTCTGTAATGCTTTTTTCAAGTTGAGTAAGGACTCATCTTGTGAAAAGGCTGGGAGATGACCCAACTGGAGCAGAAGGGGCACAATAAAGATAAGAGCATGTCTGGTTTTAGCACCAGTGGGTGAGGTCTGCTGCCCTTGGAGCGCCAGCCGCCGGGGGTTCAGTCTTTGGACTGATGTCTTATATTGTTTGCATTTATATGATGTTAGGGAAATTTGCTCATAATTGACATTTAGAAACATTATGAAACCACACGTGAGTAGCAACAATCAGACAAACACGCCAAAACATAAGCTATAAAACTTGGGTTAGCCAAAGTAATCTCAGCAACTTATGAGAACTGCTTACCATTTATGCATAATTACTACGCAGCAAAATGTTAGACGCATCCGTGAAGGTGCTGAATGAGCTTTTCTGCACAGTTTTGATAACACTCAACTCAATTCACAGACATACAATTATCGTAGTTCACAGCACGTGACACAGCAGTATTTTGTCGGCATAAAATAAATGATGCACTTCCTGTGACTGCATTAAGCTCCTAGCGTTTATTTATCTCCATAGATATCTCCCTACAGAAATTTCAGTGGGGTGGTTGAGAATAGATGCTCAGCTGTGGACCAAACATGTAATGCCCTGGAGGTCCAGTTGGGACCCCTCAAGTTCTGAGGAAGAGCCAGTGTGAAGCCAAGGGTGGGCCCAAGGCTTTTGTGGAAACACCCTATTGTCTCGGGTGTTGGCACTGAAAGTGCCTATTGTGAACGTGCGTCCCCACTAAGTTCGTGTAAGCAAATACCATTAAGTGAACAAAGTCTCCTGAGACTTACGCTCTATCCGTTCACCAGAGCTGACCCCGAAGAGCGATCTGTGAAGGTGAAGGTGCACGGTGTTACTGTTACAGCCAGGACGTAAGGACGTAAGGAGAAATGTGTACACAATCAAATGAGACACTGTGGATTTTTGTTGAGAGTAACTGACTTAGTATAGTTTTGGTGTCAGGAAGGATACAGAGAAAGACTTTGCTAAAATAACAAGGTGACAGAAACAAAGCATATGAGAACAGAATGTGTAAAAACTGGAGGTATTCATGTAATTCCAGCTACTGCTTATAAAAGCTGTCATCCTTTATTTCTTTAAATGTTAGTCATGATCCTAAAAGCATTACTGGATAAGACCTGCTGTCTGTAAGATCCATAGGGCAGGGAAATGGAAACTTAGGTGGTTGTCTTTCTTATTAGGACCGATTTCAGGAAATTATATTTACTTGTACTCAAAAATGCTGCCACTCTTACTTCCAGGGCTGCCAGTAATGGCTTAGATTTGGCCTTTGACATGGTGTTCTTTTTCCACCTGAGAGTAGAGGAAAATGAATTGTGGGAGGCAGTGCAAACCCCAGTAAAGGATGTTTGAAAAGCAAACCTGGCATTTTAGGTATTTAGATTAAGCACCGTTTGATCAAAATTAGTCAGGCAGAGAGGCTCTCATTTTTGCTAATGATACTTTGAAGATGCAAGATAAATTTATCTACGTTTGGACTGAGAAATGGAGACACTGGTGGGGAGTTCGGAGAAGCAGGCAGCGTTAAAAGCAAATGCATTTAAAATTTTTCTTTGTTACAGTTCTGTTGTTTTTAAAGAGCCGTGCTTTTCAAATTGTAGCATTAATTAACACGTATAATTCTGTATGGTTAATGGGCTGACTCATCCATTTCTTTTTCGCCAGTGTCTTAGAGTTACTGTTCGGGGAAATTACTTGTAAAGCTGAGCTCTTTCTAAAGTGCCCCAGGTAATTAATTTTACCATAGATTCGGGTGGTAAATATCAATCCATTACTGTTTTAGGTAGAACTAAGAGAAATGTGGTTGATAGTTTTGTCCTTACTGTGAAATTTTCAAGGAATGATTTGAGTTTGTATAAAATGTTAGCACACTCATTCATTCAGTGTCTTAGGTTGGGCTCCTCAGAAACAGATACTGCGTGGGGGCACCTGGGTGTCTCAGTTGGTTAAGTGTCCGACCTGGTCATGATCTCATGGACTGTGGGTTCGAACCCTGCCTTGGGCTCTGTGCTGACAGCTCAGAGCCTGGAGCCTGCTTTGGATCCTGTGTCTCCCCCCACTTCCGTCCTCTGCCCCCACTCATTCTCTGTCTCTCACTCTCTCTCAAAAATAAACATTAAAAAATTAGAAAAGAGGGGCGCCTGGGTGGCTCAGTGGGTTAAGCGTCTGACTTTGGCTCAGGTCACGATCTCACGGTTCGTGGGTTCGAGCCCCGTGTCGGGCTCTGTGCTGACAGCTCGGAGCCTGGAGCTGCTTCAGATTCTGTGTCTCCCTCTCTCTCTGATCCTCCCCTGCTCATGCTGTCTCTCTCTCTCTCTCTCTCTCTCTC